AAAAGATTCAAAAACAAAGTTGGAACTCTGTGATGTACATGGTCTCTGAATGAAGGTCCTTTCCCATTTGCTATTCACATAACATTTCTTAGACTTCCATTTTCTCAGGTGCTAATCATTAAAGGAATAGATTTGTTTCATACAGGGTTTAAGTAAAAACATATAGGCCTATGTAAAAACACATGCAATGATTATAACTAGGATGAATGTTCATTCATTCATCAGAAATATTTGATTTTTTAGTACAGCGCAGATGGGGCATGTATGGAAGAAAACGAGGGGCTGTCGGGAAGTCCAACCTCATAATGAATTGGCTTTAAATTAATAGAAACAGAAAAATGAGAATATGCATTGCACTTCCATAACCCGTAAACTGAGGTATCTCACACTACTGGTACAAAGCCGGTCTGGCAGTGCACACATTCCCGGTCATCATTCTCGTATCGTGGAGCTTTCCTCAATGTCCGCTGGGATAAACCAACATCTGGAGTGTCGATTCAACTCAAATTTCTTCAAGCTAAGCAAATCTTCATCAAGGATTTCATTGGTGATGACTGAAACAAATATTTTCCCTGTGCAGTCTGCCCTCGGATAAACACCAGTGCACTAGCAGCATTCACACCGCGAGCAAAAACGGTCGGTATTTCTCACATGCCGGACTTTCATCAGTGGTTGCCAAGCAACTAACGGTAAACGCAACAAACAAAAAATAATTTTAACAAAAGGCCACTACTGGAGTGTAGGCTTTGGAAATGCCAGCAGAAATTTCACAGATTTTTGCAGTGTAAATTCTTGCTTTAAAAAAAAACGGTGAATCGTTCCGTTTTTTGGCGACGTGACTCTCCTCGCTTCCGCGTGATCGAATGCACAGCAGCGACAAGTCGCCAACGAGGCACAGCTCACAATAAAACAAAAACGGAATGAGCAAACACCAACGGTTTGTATTTTTTTTTCTTCAACTAGTGTAAATGACAGTCCAAAAAAACCTGATGATTTTTCAAAATGGTTTTAGGGTGGTGTAAATGGGCCTATGTCTGGACTTTCAAATCCACAGATAAGAAGAAATGGGGGAGGGGCTTTGTGTTCTTGCATTCATTTTCTACATCATGGGCTTTGCTTCAAGTCACTTAAAGTTGCGGGGGGGGGGGGGGGGGCTTGAACCCCTAAGCCCCCTGTAGTCCTACAATTATTCAGATTATTTGAATAACCAAATAAATAATTGTTGTTTATTATTACCTTATACATGTAAGTGTGTAAGTTAACAACAAAACAAAAAAATTCAGAAAGAATTTCTAAAATTATAATTTATATTTCTTGAGCTTTTAGAACTGACAATATTATTTTCACTTCATTATACGATGACTCTTTGCACGTTTCTTATTACAAATTTTGAATGGTGTATCTCTCTCTCATACAACTGGGAAGGGGGGGGGGGTAACCTACTAATTTTTATACTTGGCCTCATTTCTTTGATCCTTAGAAGATCTGTTTAGTACTTAGTGAGACCTTGTTCTTTCTAAACAGGTCAAATGAAAGTGACACTTTGGAGACTTCCTCCCACTAATCCCGCTTCTCTCATCTCTAGCTGGCCTTTGTTGACAAGAAAAACAAAAGATATGATCCAGGGAACCAGGGATGAATCTGGGGAGGGGGGCAGGGGGAATTGTCCTTGTTTATTTTTGTTCTAATGTTGTTTCATTCTTCATCTCTCTTTTTTTTTGGGGGGGGGGCGTGTCAGAAAATGTCTGACCTTGTGCCCCTTATCATGTGCAACAGAAGCCTCTATCTAGGCTCTTTTCTATATCGCTGCCTTTGGTTGGAACTGGGGAAGGTACAGTATATCAATCTGGGCAAACAATTGTCTTTTTAATTTACAAAGTGATGAAAAAAGCAGTCCAAAAGCTGCTGGAAACCATGTGCTTGTTTTCCCCGATACGCGATTATCAACAAAAAAAATGTCTTGATAATTAAATTCAGGGACGTTGTAAGACTATTTTGAAAAGAGGTGTGTCAGCTCAAATTTGCAAATAACTGGACAATTAAGGTAAATCCGATTTCCAATTTGACAAATTTGGAGAAAGTTTGAAATGGGGGTATGCACCAATCTCCCCCAACCCCGTCCCCCCCCCCCCCCCCCCCTCATTAAACGATTTACATGTTGCAAGTAACTGAGTCTGGAATTAGAGACTATTGACTGTATGCATTATAGCTGCTAGCTATAGCTAATCATTGTCTGAATACTTGTAGGTCTTATCTATCGACAACTATCTTAATTTAATTACAAAATTACACTAATTACTTAAAGATGAAGATCTTTATCCCAACACCCAAGGCATTTCCTTATCAGTTTGCTTATAGGACTACCACAGGACCCATACATCTTTAAGCGTTCTATTACACGGTTTTACATAATGCATTTATACTGCAAGCAAAACCCATCAGTTTTTCTCCCATTCTAGAGTCTGAATTGTTGGAAGTTGCCAGGGAACTACATAGTTTGTTTAATTGTAAGACACACACAAAAAAAAACCTGGAGAGTACTGTTATTTTTTTGTTAACTTTCGCCGAAAACTCCACTGGTTTTTGCAGTGTGAATGCTCACACTTAATAATAATAGTAATAATCTTTTAGTCCACTCCAAATTTTATTAAACCGAAAATCGAAATTCTTTTTGCCCAATTGATCGTGAGCTCGGCAGCCACTGAGCAGCGCCAGATCGACGTTGCTCTATCCTGAACGCCAAACAAGGTAGCAGCAACTCCCGTCTTTCAACGTCTTTTGGTATGACGCGGCCGGAGTTCGAACCCACGACCTCCCGGTTGTGAGGCAGACGGTCTACTGACTGAGCCAACACACCGGTTGAATTATTCTGGTTTTTGGTCATGTGACTCTGCACGCTTCAATCCCCACATACAGACTTACAGAGCAGAGCAAGTGGCACAATGGGCACAACTCACAGTGGTGTAAAGCCTAAAGGTAGATTTAAACAGGTAGTTTAAAAAAAGAACAGATGACTTTCAAATTGGTTTTTCTGCAATGTGAATGGACCTTTTTCGGTGAAGTATTATAAATAGGGCTCAACGTACTTTAGGGGTCCACCTAGTTAACATACCCCCCCCCCCCCCCCCTTTTCACACTGGACCTGTATACATGTGCCAAAAGCTCATGTTAACAGGGGCCTGATAATGCACTTGCACCAGTAAATTTTGAATCTAGAAATCCAGAAAAAGATTGTCATGGAGCTCTCGATCTTTACAGAAAGGTTATAAGTCTGTACCCTATGTTCTTCATTCATAGAAAAGAGGAAGTTTTGTCCAAACTGTCCAGCTCCTTCATGTCATATTTCTGTTGAGCGCATTTGAGAAGAGCAACCATTTTCTTGAGACATTCCTAAAACTATCATACAAAGAATGGGGAAAGAAAACTTTACGTCTCTTTCCATATTTACCGGAATTCAATTCATCTCTTTAAACTCAGTACTCAGTAGGCAATAGTACCTACATTGTGCTTCCAATCGAAATGGACCGAACGGTTTATGGGCTTGACATATTACTATTAGTGTACTAACAAAGACCTGAGTCACTTGTTTGGTATGTTTGGTTGTGACCCCACGATGACCTTTCCATATTTACTCCATCTGATTGTAGATTTCTCTTCCAAACATCAAAGAGAAGTTTCCATGGTGACCAAGATAGGTCATGATGAAGGGGCTATTTATATCTTGTTTTGTTGATCAATGGCAGTGTAACAATTCCGATACTGAACCACAAGCACAGGCCAGGCAAGAATTAGAGAAAAGCAGTGAGACTAAAAACATGATGTGTTAAACTCCTTCAAAAAAAACCCCAGGGGGGTCACTCTCATACACAAATGCTACACTGTACCCACCTGTGTCCATCAGCATCTGAAATGGACCCTAAAGGCGTATCACACTTTTTCTGAAATGACCCTTTTTAAAGAAGACATCAAAAACTGTGATCCTGAAAAGGCACCCTTTTTGGGCTTTTGTACGATCGGTGCTTGAAATACACCCCTTTTTAAGAAAAACGTAGACGACGTCGAACCTGTGAATCTGCAAAGGTACCCTTTTGGGTTTTTTGTGCTTTCAGTGCTTGAAAAACATCCCTTTTTAAGGAAAACGTCGCCGCCGGCGTATAGCTGAAAAAGACACCCTTGAGCCGCTTTTTCTGGACGCGGGTGCGTAGCCAGTCATGTTGGGAGTGACCCCCTTGGGAAAAAGCCGTGCACACCCAAAAAATATTGACATAAGGACAAAAATCTACACAGATCTTTGTTCGTTCGTTCGTGTCTCCTTAGATCAAGATATTTATGTAAAGTTCCTTAGTTAAATTTAATTTAATTAAGTTCTTCCATCACAGATCTTTGTGATGATGATGTTGGGAAGAAGGTGACTTTGATAATGAGGTTATGAGTATGACTAAAAGGCCATTTTCGTTATGTGTACACATTTCAATAATGCCTAGTAAAGTAAATTAAAATAATAATAATAATATCAATAATTAAAATAATAACAAATAATAATATCAATAATTATAATGATACAAATAATAACAAATATAATCATAACAATAATTATAACAATAATATTAATGATAATGATACCAACAAAAAACAACAATAGTAACAATTAAAATGAAAGTTTTAACCTGATTACTTTTAATCCCTGGAGGCAATGGGTTGATGTTGATGATAACAATAATTATTATGATAAACGATATAAATAGATTGATAAAATTAAGAATCATAAGATTATTCTCTCCTCCTTCCTTGTTTTCTATTATGAGAAGCCATTAAAGCCCCACTGCATTACTTATAGCTACTTGCGCCCTCTATATAGCCAACAATGCCTAAGTGCTGCGGTACCCATTGATGCCCTTTTTCTTATGCTAATTGAGAGCTGATTTGATGAGGTAACCACCCGAGGGTCTTTAAAATCTCTACTAATCTTCAAAATAAAGGTAGTTTAAGATTGGACTTACTCTGTAAAATTGATAAAATGGAGATGTCTCTGATAGATGAATGGACTCTGTACTTTGCTGAGGATCGACACAAGTTTTTCCTGAAAAAAGAAAAGAAAGAGTATTTACGAATGATAAGCTGTAATTAGCAAATAGTCAACTGCTAAATAATGCTATATGTACAGTATGTAAGGGAAGGTTGACTTCAGGGAAAGCTAGGTGTCAAGTAAATTATGATTTTGTTTTCCCTTTAAGTATATGTCAGTTTGGAAAACTACAATGTATCACGAAATGTCCCCTGAAAAGGATTGATCCTCAAATGCCCTTATATTTGAAAAATGATGATGCTTCAACAGCTAAAATGTTTGGACAAAATTGTCAAGCAACAACTGTGGTGTGTGTAGTTCCATTAATTCCATATACCCATTTCTGTGTGCAGTACATCTGACAGTGACTTGCAATAAGACTCTTCTTTTCTCGGTGATACCAAAATGAAAGACGTTTCACAACGTATCTTTTTATTGAAAATTTTAAAAAAGCACAGAAAAAACAAAATGAGAAGAAAAAAAAGTTAAAGGAGAAGACATGAAGAGGATGAAGAGAAGAAAAAGGAGATGGAGGAATGAATATCACAATGAAAACAAAATAAGGAGCCCTATTTAATCTTTGTCTCTTTGACTTTATATAGGGCTTACAAATTTGCCTCTTACCTGATTCTCTGAACTGATGCGTTTGTCATTGTATACTTGCGACGAGATGAGATAGAAGTGGTTGTTTTTCGCCAAACTTTGAAGTAGATTTAGAACAGATCGACTCCCACACTTGCCCACTCGGTTGAATATGACATGCCTTTTGACCTGTAACCATAACAAGAAAATGATAATTCTGATAAAACCAAGGAAAAGGTAGATTGTAAATGTAAATCAGAGATGAAATAGAAAATGGCAGTTGTCAAAATGAATGACGGAGCAGTAAGAACAGATCGACTCCTACACTAGCACCCTCTGTGAAAGATGACAAGTTTCTGTAATAACTACCCCCCCCCCCCCCCAAAAAAAAAAAAAAAAAAAAAAAAAAATATATATATATATATATATATATATATATAAATATCTATACAAAATAAAATAAATAAATAAATAAATAATTATAATAAATAAATAAAAAAAATAAAAAAATAAAAAAATAAATACAGTATAAAAATGAAGAAAAAAAAATATAAAAAATAAATAATAAAAATAAATAAATAAATAAATAATTTAAAAAATAAAAAATAAATAAAATAAAATAGATACAAAAAGAGAAAGGTGCATTTTTAAAGTTTAAAGGGAGATGGTTGACCATTTCCATGTGCAGTCAAGTAAATCATAATTTCCTGACCATGAACTTGGTGGAAAAACCATTAATGGATGGTTGTCTAACTATCACACACAGCAAATGGGATGTCTCACCCACATCCCCTGGTCTATCAGAGTCTATTCAGAGAGTGGTCAGATCATGATGGAATAATCATAAGACCCGTGGGTCATAAAATTGAGGGTCACTCCTGAATCTCCTGAAGACTGAAAACATAAGTTATCAGGTGAATACCTATGTAAAAATCAGTCCAGACAGTGGACTAGTGAATACCCTGATAGTGTCAAACACGATGATGATGATGATGATCATGATCATCATCATCATCATGAAGCAACATACATCACAGGGTTGCCATTGCCAATTTGTTTTGAATCAATTACAACTTCCAGAATTTATCTAAGTTTGACAGAACTTTATTTTGTGCAAGACCAAATTTGTTAAATCTAATTCAATAGTTAAATATGAATTGATTTGTTTCTCTAATTTTCTGCCTAAAAAAAGTGAGAAACAAAATGGCAAAAAGATTTAAAGACTTTTGACCAATAACAAGAAATCCATGAGAATTTGAAGTATGATAGATCATTAAAACTGTGTCAACTGCAATTTCATAATTCATTCAATGGATTGTAATATTCATGGACAACTCTCCCTATTCTTGTGTTCAAAACTATGACAAATTTTTGTTTTTCTTCTATGCACCTTTTCCTATGGGGCACAGCTCAAAATAAATTGATCTCTAATAAAGAGAAAAGAACCTCTTGAGTCATACATTTTGAAGAAAAAAAATGACATTTAAGTACTTTGAGGGTTCGAAGTCTTCGAACAAATTGGAAAGTTGTCAGGCATTTTGTCTCAGTGACACTGTCGATTCAGCCAAATTGAAGTACACAATAAATTAATACCTTTTGCAATTTTGTCTGAATTCGCTCAAAATTTCAATAATCTGCTTCCTGCTTTCTTTCAGGGTAGTTTACTATAAGGGTAGTCTTTCCCTTTAAATCCCAAACAGGGTTGACCCATAGACGTAATTGCACAGACCTCACACAGGACACACAGCAAGTCTCCATTGGCCCCATTCACACTACAACAAAAACTATAGACTATACAGCACGCACTGATGATGGCCAGCTGTTAAATTGATAGGCCCAAGAAGTTTAGCTGGCTAGTAACTTCCTGATTGGCCTCTTCAAATCTAGTTTCTTACAAGACATTTCTTTATACAAAATTATCCTGTCTGTATGTTTCTTTCATTATACGATGATTCTTTAAATACAACATTTCTTTATAGTTTATACCAGTTTCATAAAAAAATTCCTATACCCAGTTGAACGATTTCGGATAATATACCGTACATACTAGAAATGAACCCAGATTTTTTTTTCTCAAAATGATGCTGCTTCTCTTTTGCCAATGTTTCATCATACATGTACATACTTGTTCAGACTATACAAAATATTAAACTTGTGAGATAGCTAAACAGTTTTTTTTACAGCTATACAATGATTTGTGCTTGTGTGAATGAGGGGTAAGACCATTTTTCATTCTCCCTCCCAACATACTTCTAGTACATCTTGTGTATTTACAGTACCTGGTAAGGGAAATAAACACTGCACAAGGTAACATTTGAGTTATGTCTGTAATAAACATCAGATACAAGGGTTGTTTGTTTCAGAGGGCAGACATCTGTACACACAGTGACTCACTGCTCTAGTAATTTGTTAAGAACTTCTGTATACATGTAGGTTTCTAGGCAAGACTGTCTGAACATCTGCTTCTTTTACAACTGACTTTATCAGTAGATTAACCAAGATTGTCAATGAATACATGTGTATTAGCGTTTTACTGAACGTTTTTTCCAGAATATTTTGAGGTATCCCACCGCTGCCACCACTGTAAATTATTAATTTTTTTTCTCTCAAATTCCTACTTGTCATCTTCTACATCACATCACCAGAAGAAATTCTATTGTTAAACTGTGCCAAGAATAAAATATTGTTAAACTGTGCCAAGAATAAAATATATCATCCTGCTACCAACTACAGGAGAATATAGCAATATCATTCGTAATAACTTTTTTTTTAGACTGAAGGTCGTACACAGCAATATTATATAGCACAAACATGTTCGAGCATCATTTAATTTATAACAAAATGACTTGACTTCTGTAGTTCTGTTCTAGTCTCATCGTTATATTATATGAACATTGTAGACCTGGTCTGGGCTTATCATGAGCATGCCAGCTGTTATGTCAACTGTCCTCTTCAGAAATTTATTTATAGAAAACAAAAATTCTATAAATAAGTTTCTTTACAAAATGTTATTATCTAACTAGTTTATAGAGGTCTAGAGGTGTTATGGTCGAGTGGATATGTCACCGTGTGGATCAGAAGGATCGTGGTCCAAGTCCCACCGCTGCACTAATGTCCTTTGGCAAGACATTGATCTACATTTGCCACACTCAACCCAGGTGAGGTAAATGGGTACCTGGTAGGAGTAGGATTATTCCTTGAAATGGACTGCGCCAATTTCGGTAGCCGAAGCTAAAGCTAGGGTAATATAGGCCCTTTTGCTCTACATGTACATGTACAGCCATTCTTTATAAGTTTCTTTATGAATATGCAACTATAACCTTCAACGAATATGAATGCCTTAGGCTATTTAGATTGTGTTAAGATATTGTAAATTAAAGGAACCGCAGAACACAGCTTGATACTCTCTCTGCAGGGATGGTGTTTTATGGCATGTATGTATGTGCTGTCTGTTCGGGAGAGGGTCTTGCAGATGGCTGGGTAACGACATTGCACACATTCCAAGGGGAGAAATAAAAAGAGGGCACTTGTATCCAACTGTGAAAATGATTATCATGTGGTCTTTCTTACAAGCAATGAGTGCATTGACTATTATTAGTAGTCTCAGGCACAGACTCCAATTTGATATTTAACTACAATTTATTCCTAAAGCCTTGAGCCAAGCCCAGCTCTGTCAATCTCTTGCTGTGTCGAAACAACAGCTTCAGTACAGAGCCTATGGTGTGCAGTGGACCGAGCAGTCTGCGTAGACTCTCAATGCAGACACTCTGTTAAAGGTAAAGACCAGTTTTGGAAAAGCCCCCCTCCCAAAAAAATGAAATAGAAGCTCTATTACCGATCATGTGAAAGAATATGTTTTGACTAATAAGTGATCATACAAATTTTGCAGAGAAACCGTCTACTAATTGATATATTTGGTAAATTAATATATCTATTTGGACCTGATAGATATAACGCATGTGTCGTGCACGTGTGGGAGTAGCCTGATATGAGCCTATACACTATCTTTTAACATTTTCTTGTTCATTTCTGACTCAACTACAGTTTTCAATTGAGGTGAAGTCCATGGTTTGAACAGTTTTTTTTGTTGTTGATATCAAACATTCCTACTTTTCTCAATTTCATGCATCAAAATGATTGTAAAATAGACGTGATATTCTTTTTTTGCCAATTATATTTTTTATTTCATAATTGTGTTCAATGCCAAAGTGAGGAAAGGGCCTCTGAAAAACAGTCGTTTTCTCATAACAATATTCTCTGGAGGCATATTGTTATTAATAGATATCAAGAACAAAAAGGGCAAATTTCAAAATCTATATTTTAAATTAGAGGATCGTGCATCCAATTTTCTTTTGACAAAATGACTAAAATTTTTTTTTTTTAAACGTCCGTCCTCACAACTCGCTGTTTTTCTGACCAATTAGCCTACTTGTACATCTTAGATCATCGCATAGACTGAATAGGGGCCTACAGAGAACATGAATATCAATGAAGCAATTTCCTAGAGACAGCTGCATGAGAACTTACAGTGAACCAGGAAGGATGCAGGGGGCAGCCGGAGGGTAAAAGTCTGCCCCTCTATAAAAAAAAAGGTTTATTTACAGTGCCAGTCATACAGTGTACATGTACTCATAGACTGTGGGAAGTTGTGATTTGTTGTTGTAATTGTTGTTCTTGTCATATCCTTTTCTTTTGTTTTGTTCCTTTGATATACTGTTGATCTTATCTTTGTTTTGCATACATGTAGATCTACAAGTAGGCCTACATGTCTATAACAATGTATTTGAGGGAGAAATGGAATACTCATAATGAAACAAGTACTGTAGCAATTTTAACAAAAGCTTCCATCAAATCAATGTTTTAAAACGTTTTCCACAAAGTCCCCCCCCCCCCCCGTCTTTTAAACTGTCATGATATTCTATCTGATCCTACGCAACTGACTTCCGCCTGGTCCTTGAATTCCCCACTGGTCACTAGTCTAGACGATGCTATCCTGAAACTAGCCTTTGACTTTCATGGTCTGCTGGAAAAAGTCTGTCATCTCCCTTAAAGGGATTGGGTAATTTAACTTTGTCACAGATTCTGAAACAAAATCCTGCAATGATAATTATAAACCTTTAGGTCAGTCAGGAATCCCTTGACTTTTACAAGCTGATCGCCTGTCTGATTATAAAGATATTTATGCTTGGAAATCAATATTAGAAAAATTGTTTTCCTAACGGTTTTTATAACACTCAGGGGTGATAGTGAGCACTAAAAAAAAATAGGTTTTTTGTTTTCCCCTCAACCACGCCCCCCTTGAGTAAAAAAAGAAAGAAGAGGATTCGCGGGGGGAAATGGCATCTAACAACATTCCCCCCTTTCCAGTAAGAAAATTGGGACAAAATTGGGAAAATTGGGGAAAAAATAGGGCAAAATAGGGAAGAATAGAGAAAATAAGAGGGAAATCGGGAAAATCAGGATAAAATAAGGAAGAAGAAGAAAAAAATGGTTTAAAAAAAAAAAAAAAAAAAAAAAAAAAATATATATAAATCGGGAAGAAAAGAAAAAATCGGGAAAAAATCGGGGAAAAAAATAATAATCGGGAAACCGATTTAAATCGGGTTTTTATCAGGCCTACAGCCTATTGGGGAAAACGAATGTAAGACCGGTCACTCAAAGATTTTTACTTTTTTGGGGGCACTTCATGATCATGTTGAAGCGACTTTTGTTTAGGGCTTGAATATTACACCATATCACAGACACTGATAACACATAGGGCCATGCATCTCAGATTAAAACGATGCCTTTACAAAATGTATTTAAAAAATCAGTTTCCCCTTAATTATACCATCTGAATAAAGGCAGAATGGCATTGACAATGTGTTAAAGGGGGAAGTCCACCCTAATATTTAATTGATTTCAATAGAAGCAGCTTCAATGCAGCTCTTTGTGTTGTGGGTTTGGTGTTAATTTTTACAGGGAAATCTTATTGGCAAATTTCTCTCACAATCGATTTTCAATTTTTTAGCATGGCAATAACTCTACATTTAGTAAATGGAAGTAACAAAAAGCAAAAATTACCCACTGCCTAATTAGTCAGACAGTTCTGGTTTTGTAATTCATTACAAATCAATGATGTCATTTACTAAGGAAATGCCTAATATAAATTGATTTGGTCTGTTGAGCGACTAACCACAAACAATCACCCCCACCCACACACACAGACACATACAACATTTTTCATTAGCAATCAATGTGATCATTTACAAAGGAAATATTGAAATTGATTTGGTCTGTTCAAGGAGTCTGTCCAAGGAGTTAGTGACCAAACACAAGCACACAAAAACACACACATATGTGTAGCTAACCATTTTTTCTAGTCAATTGAACTTCTTGACAAAAGGTTGTTAAAACACACAAAGAGGAGGTTACAATCAATTTGCAAACACAGTACCACTTCCTAAATAAACCACCGATGATGCTTGCACAAAGGAAACACTTATATGTGTGTGTTAGCAACAACAATACATGAATGGGTGTATTAAGTCCTGTGTTCCCTTTTTATTTATTGAAACCCGTTTTCCATTCATGGGGTGCAAGCATTCATAGCATTGTCTCCTGGTTTGTGTGTTTTGGCTGAATTTCAAGGAACAAGTGCACGAATCAAAACAAACTCATACAGTACAAAGAAAACCTGTGGAACGAAAAGTGGAGGGAAACTGAAGATATTATGGAGTTGAAAGAAAGAATGATTGAAAAGAGAGAGGGGGGGGGGGGGGAGGGGTACATGTAGATAGAGAGAATTTCAAGGAACAAGTGCACACATCAAAACAGACTCATTCATTGCAAAAACAGTGGAGGAAAACTGTAGAAATGCAGAAGTTTTGAGAGAGACAAAGAGAGAGAGAGGGGGAGAAAGAGAGAGAGAGAGAGAGAGGAAGAGAGAGAAAGAGATAGAGAGAGGGAGAGAGAGGGATGCAGGAAAGGGGTTGACAGAATATAATTGTAAACATACAATATCAAAATCTGCCATATCCTACCTCCTCTCTTGTATTATTCCAAGTGTATCCTTCAGTGATGGGTAATTTCTTGGTCTTAGAAAAGTCCCTGTCTTGCCATTTTATCATCCATGTATGCTGAGGTTCTTCCGCCGGCTCAATTTCAACTATTGTGTTGGTAATGTTCTGACAAGTGTGAGAGAAAATAAATTTCATTTAACATTTTTAAAAAAATGCTTTGTAAAAAAAGTAAGTAAAATAAATGGTTATCAAAACAAGATGTTAATCAGCATAATATTTCTTTTTAAAGTGTAAAATGTTTTCAAAGGGCATTCAATTTAGTCTTTCATCGAACCTTACAATTTTCAAGGCACACTGCCAACTTGAGTGACAGAGTTCTCCTGCTGTTTTCCTTGTGATTTCTTTTATTTTATTAAGTTTCCATTTTCCAAATTGTTGACATTTAGGAATAGATTTGTTAATTACAAGTAGAAACACAAGCCTATGATGTGCAAAGAAGTGAGTTAGACTATGCATACATTGTATCTAGTGTGCATATTTGATATTGATAGAATTATTCTCTTTAGATTAAATAACAATTTATAATTTTGAGTACTGAAGAAATGGGAGAGGACCTTTTAGATGAGTCAAAGAGTTGCCAATTTGTGCTTGATCAATTGAACCTCAAAAATTCTTTAGTTCTTATATTTCTCATCATGTTTTTCTCCCAACATTCACCGTTACTTTCTTCTATTTTTAAAGATTTTATTAAAAAAAAAAAAAAACTTAATATCAGGGTGAGTGTGGACTTCCCCTTCAACTTTTTAAGGTGATTTTTCTTGTTTTCAACCATGATTACTGATTAGACCATAAACGTACATGATTAGACCTACCTCTTGTGAAAGAGTTGGTGTTGGTTTCACTGTATGATCCTTTCCTGTAAGTAATACTGTAGTGGATGGATGGATAGAGAGAGAAAGAAAGAGAGGGGGGGGGGGGAGAGGGGGAGAGATAGAGAGGGAGGAACAGAAGAGAAGGGGATCGAGAGGAGAAGAGAGGAAGAAAGGGGGAGAGAAGAGAGAGAGAGATGAGAGAGAAGGGAGGAAGAAAGGGAGAGAGAAGGGAGGAAGAAAGGGGGGGGGGGAGAGAAGGGAGGAAGAAAGGGGGAGAGAAGGGAGAAAAAAAGAGAAGAATGAGATAAAGGTGAGAGGAAAAGATAGAGGAAGAAAAGAGAGGGGTGAGAGGGAGGGAGAGGGGCGGGAAGGAGAAGGGTGAGAGGAAAATGACAGAGGGGAGAGAAAGAAAAGAGAGGGGTGAGAGGGAGTAAGAAGGGGGAGAGGAAAAAGAGAGAAAGGGAAAGAGGGGTTAAAACATGTCCTTGACATTTTGAGGCCTACAGTAGTAGTAGTAGTACAGGCAGCCATGGGGCTTTTCAGCACGTTCAGTGCCCTACACTACAGCTTCATCAAATAGGCCTACATGTAGGCCTACCTCCACAATAATATACCCACTTAGTATGGTCTTGGTATGGTAACATAATATTGGGCACTGAAAAAACCAAGGTTCCAATTCCGAGTATAAGATATTATGTGTCCAGATACAATCATAATAAAGTAGTCGAAGAAGTTTAAATATACAAGCAATATTTCGCATGTTATTATTAATATTATTCAAGACTTTTTTTCGACAATATATAATTAGATCTATATAAAAATAACTGTAGATGCCGCCAATCAAAGGACATTTATTTCTGTTTAGCATGGTTAAGATTTGAAGAATAAGAGTTTAAGACCAGCGTGGCTGCAGAAATAAACTGAAATTATTAATGACATACCCTCGGCTACATCATCGGACCTAGATGATGGGGAGGTTTCGGGAAGCCCATCCCGTGTAGTTCCACCAGGGCGATGCAACGACGACTGGAACAACCGCGAGCCGCGATCAATATTTGATGTGGATGAAATCAAAGGAGTTCTAGCTGGTTGGCTGCTGAAGGTGTGTTTCAAATAATCCAGTTTAGGCGGAGATACAAATAACCAGAATGCTAAACAGCACACGGCTACGAGTTGAAGTTTCAAAAAAGTATAAGAACTTTTAGGCACCGTTCCTTGAGTAGTCATCGTTCCCATCTAATAATCCTTACAACGTAAATTTGCACAGAGGCAACCAACAGCAGCCGATTTAGGCAAGCGACCTGTCCGCGAGACGAGTTACATTCGATGTGTCGTATGCACTCAGCCGCGTGCTGCGGACTGCACTGGCCAGGAGGCAGGACGAAGCAATACTTCCATCGTTTCCGCTTTGAATTTCCTGAATTTGTCAGAGTTCCAGAAAAGCAACACTTATAAAAGGCGAGCACTTATGGGCGTAGACAAATGTAGAAATTATATTATGCGCCTGTACTTATGATTATTTCACTTGGCATTATGACAGTTTTGCAGCTGGCAAAGCCGCAAAGGAATACCAAAACGTAAATATTATTATTATGAAGAGTGTGACGTCAGTGTAGCAAAACGATAGATGTGGGCGGATCGTACTATCACTTTCAACCAATATTAGAGAGTGGAAAGACCCTCTTCATCGCGACCTGATCGCGACGCCAGAGAGCTCGACACACGCACACACACACCCACACGCGCGCGAACCTGCACACCCACACGCACTATGAATGAATACATGAAATTAATACAAATATATTGGCCAACCTCTCATAAGATTGTATAGTATGTACTTCATCTTTTATGTATTGATTGAATGTTTAAAAATGAAGAAAAAAAAGAAAAGAAATTAGATTCCATCATCGGATTCAAATCAATAATACAGAGGGTAATTTTCCCCATTATCCCTCTTTTGTATATAGTAATTACATGTATTATTTTTTGTACAGGATTGTCATGCCTTCGAGCTTTCCCTATGTGGCAATCCTTTATTAGGATTCTTTTATGTAAATGATATATTGTACCTACATTTCATACTTTAATAATTTATCAATCATTATTTTGTTTATTATGTTGTAAATTTGTAATCAGTTTGCAAAGTAAATCTGGAAAAAGACCATGAAGAGAAGAAAAAAAAAGAAAAATGAATGAATGAATGAATAAGATGATTAAATATCAATACAGCCCTGATGTTTATTTCGAGCACTTAAAATACCACACACACAAAACACCTATACCACACCTCATATCAATCATGATTATTTGTATGGCACACATCAAATTCTGTAGAACTTAGCAGGAATTATGAATATGTAAAGTATGTCCTATCTGTGAAATCTAAACATTAGCAGTGTCCTAATATTCAAATTATGCAAGGAAACCCGTTTACTTGCTAGACTTTACTGTCAGCCACTATTGCATGAGTGACTGACTGGCTTTTTTCTTTTTTGGTAATAACATACATAAAATGAGCTGTAAAGGGTACATGAGCATTTGTTTACATCATAACCCACTTCTTGTAATGGCCAAAATTAAAACGATTGAATCTTTGCGCAGCATAACATGTACAACCATTTGGTACAATGGTCTGAAAATCAGACTATTACTTACTGGCTCTATAGCTCCTAAGTCGATTCAACAACTAATAGTCGTTATTTTCCCACTTAAAGACATTTTCAAGCCCCCTTTTTTTAAGGGAAGTTCTAAATTAGTATTATCTTTCAAATGCAGTTGGAATTTAACCTTTTCACTTTTAGGCCTGCAAATGGGACATAGCACCTTTAAAGTGGAGGTGTCATGGTTCATTCACTTGACCCTCAATCCAGGGGACGAATCCCAGCCCAGCACTAACGTTTTTTGGCAAGACATTAATCTGCATTTGCCACTCTCAACCCAGGTTTAAATCGGCACCCAATATCCTTAAGCTCTAGATACTTGGCCACTCGGCTATGAACGGGGTAATAACGTGGGAGCGCCACATCGTGACGGACGTGTGCGCTATATAAGAAGCCACCATAGTTATCATTAACGCACATTCTTTGAACCAGAATAACTTAACTCATGATTTTCAACTTGACTTTAAGCCCTTTTGCTTCTCGAAAAAAGAAAAATGGCCAAGGATCAAGAGAACTGACACAATCCGAGTTTCATTTAACAATTTTAATGCTGAACTTGATATCCAAAGCCACACCACATGCACAGATATATGAAAAGAAGTTAAGTTTTTAATACAACTTACACAGAGAATTGGAGTGTAAAGAAATAAAGCTTCTTTAACAAATAAATATAGACAACGTTAAGTGCTTGGTATGTACAGAATTTCCTCAAAATACATTTAGTACTCATACACAAAAGTTGTTTAGTGTACAGTTTCATAAGAAAGGCACGCTACACATACTTCATTTATACATAATTTAAAGCAATTAAAAATTAGATACAGTAATGTGTATTACAATGCCTTTTTCTTTCATTCTTGGCATTGGATGTTAACGTTACTGTGATAACTATAAAGCCAAATTTAAAAAAAACACATGTTTAGCATCCTGCTTTTATGAAAAATAGGAAGGAGGAGGGCCCCCCCTTTTTTTTTCTTCAAAATGGCCACTCAAAATGGCCGCTCGGTACATTTTCCCAGACAGTCGGGCTATTTTTCAAGATGGCCGCAGTCATTTTTTTTCAAATCGGAAATTGATCAATTTTTAGCATTGTTTTTTATGTTTAAAAAAAAACAAAAAAAAACACAATTTTTAAAAAAATCAAATAATTTTTTTTTTTTTTTTTTTTAAATAAAAAAAAAAATCAATAAATTAAAAATAGGAGGCGGCCTCCAAAAAGGAAGCGGGCGGGTACGCTAAACATGTAAAGTTTTTTTAATGGCCTAATGTCAAATTCACTTTATTTGAATAAATTTGCATTTCCTTATGCCACGGCAGTTATGTCAATGTGGTTTTAACATGTCGTGTATGAACATTGTCATTTTGTTTAAAATACAGAAACAGAAGAAAATTTGCTAGATACCAATATCACCTCTCTTTAAAAAAAAAGGAAACCCTCCTTTCCCCAGCAACTTCTTGTTGAATAAACATCACTTGATAAACAAGAGACACAAATCATTAGAAAGAAAAAAAAGATCCTCTTTCATTATGAAACGCCATTTGTGATGATAGGGCTTGGGACCATAAAACTATGATAACATTTTAAATGAGCATAATCCAAATTAATTAGTGCATGAGAGTTTTGATCAATACCATGAAATGCTATTCGCTGAGCACGTTTCTGCTTTATTTGCATGGACAGACAGAGAAATGGGGACAAATGGAATGTAATGATGAACAAAGGAATACTTATCATTGTTTTTTGTTTTGTTGTCTTTATACCTTGTGTTTATATTTTGCATCGTCATTACAACTAAATCAAGTTTCGCATCATATAAAGAGAATGAATGAATCTTTCCTTGTTTCTACTTTTTTCTTTAGAAACACACTGTATTAAATATATGCAGGAAAACAGAAGTTACAAAAAATGGGAGTCACTACAGAACAATGGTAAGGAGTCAATAAGATATATATATATATATTAAATAAACCTTATTATTTAAACACACTGGCATTGAAAAAAGAATCATTACAGTCTACTACTTTCAATATCTTGTTTGGCAAGTCACATAGCACATCCCCCCCCCTAATTCAAGTCACAGAAAATACTGAATATTTTTGTTTTATCATGTTATGATATCTATCTAAACCCTGTATCTAGGTACATCAAATTAAGTAAAGTTGTATGTGAAATGTGGGCAAAAGCGAATTCCCATTGGACAATAAAAATGAAATAGAAATTGATCACCTAAAGAAAATAAATTTGATAATACAACTTCTGGAGGGGAGGGGGGTAGGGGGTAGGGGGTGGGGGGGGGGAGCACTTGGCAACATGGTGAATGGGCTTTACTGTGTACCTCTACTAGTATTGTTGTTTTTTAAATCTAAACAAATTCTTGCTGAAATAGATGACGATGAATTGACAAACAGAGGCTTGTTAACCGGCTGACAACTGAATCCTCTCATTCTCATAGGCTTAACACAGGAGGCAACTGGTTCCAGTTGTCAATGGGTTTCATGAGAGACTTGGATGAGGGAACACCCTGCGTATTTCATTCTTCTAAGCTCTCTTTCAGCTTAGAATCACTTATCTTGGACTGAATTTCTGCAAACAATGACTTCATCTGAAAAAGAACATACAGTTATGAAAAACGAATTTACTGTTAGTGTTCTTTAAGCTGATTTAAGCAGTGGCGGATCCAGGGGTGGGCCGAAACGGCCGCGGCCCCCCCCCCCCCTATTGGCCAAGCAAAAAAAATTGAGAAGGAAAAAAGAGAAAGAAAAAAAGAAGGAAAAAAAAGGGGGAAAAAGGAGAAGATAAAAGAAAAGAGAACAAAAAAGTAAAGAAAAGAGAGAGAGTTCAAAAAAGAGGAAAGAAAAAGAAGAAAAAAAAAGGGGGAAAAAGGAGAAGATAAAAGAAAAGAGAACAAAAAAGTAAAGAAAAGAGAGAGAGTTCAAAAAAGAGGAAAGAAAAAGAAGAGAGGAGCCGGGGAGAAAGAAAGACAACGAAATGGCACACCTATGGTGTCGAGGGGCTCTTTCTTCATTTTTTTGTTCGGTAATAAATAAGGTTAGTTGTGTGGGTGTCACTCAGGCGCGGATATACGGGGGGCGATGGACCCGCCCCCCCCCCCCCTCTTTGAAAAAATAAGAAATGAAAGGAAAGAAAAAGAAAGGAAAGGAAAAAGTAAAGAAAGAAGGGCTAAAAACACGAGTTAGAAGTAGACCCATCAGGGCACTCACTTATCCGTATCAGGAGGAAAAATACACGGGGGCTCGGGGTGAATTAGCCCCCGAAATGCCAAAAAGAGCCCCCGAAAGTCATAAAAGTAACCCCCAAAATGTTTTAAAGTATTTTTTCTCTGATCCGTATATAGGAAAAGGCCCTGGGGCAGCTTGCCATACTCCGATATTTGGGTCGTTCTCTAATAGTCGGACGATCGGTGCGGGTTACATTCTACGCGGTCACACCGGCCATACGTAAATGACAGTGACGGTAACGACGAATTAGGAGGAAGGGGTGCATACGTGAACTACAAGCGTATTGGGGATGATCATACTATCATTTTAGAGTGTGCAATCTGGGTCAGAATCCAGCATAATATATTTATAAAAAAAGAGGTTCACATAAAAGCACTCATGATAAAGCCGCGCCCGGCCCCTACAACATCATTTTGGATTTTCAGATGATGGGGCGGGTGGCAGGGGTAGGGGGCAAAGTTCGCCCCACTCTTCAAGTACCCCCCCCCCCAAGGGCCACTTTTACTTTGTAAAGAAGTGCCCCTTCCCCTTTTTAACTTGGATAAGCGCACATTTCATCAACACATGTGCCCCCTTTCCTATCTGATAAGGGCTATTTAGAAAAATGAGGCCCTTCATAAATAAAAAGTGTCCCTTTTCATCTCTGGTAAATGACCATTTCATATATATGAAGTTAATTCGTTTCACTTCAGTGCGCTCTTCACCTCCGATAATTGCCCCTATTCGAATCTGAGAGATGCTCATTTTACTTTGAAAAGTACCCCTTCCCCTCCTGATAAGTACTCTTTTCATCTATGATGGGTGCCCATTTTCACCTTTGCTAATTACTGCCCTTTAATTTTGAATCGTGCCCCTTTTCCTTTCTATATAGGGACCTATCCCCTTTTCATAAATGCCCCTTTTCACCTCTGATAAATCAATTTCTGATGGATGCCCCTTTTTCGTCGACAAATGCCCATTTCCCATACTCATAAGTGCCCTATCTCATTTCTGGTGAGTGCCTCCTTTCAGGTGTAAGAAGTGCCCAGTTTGAACCTTTGATAATTACTCTTTGTACCTTGACACATGCTCCTTTTCTTTTCTAATAAGTGTCTTTATCCCTTTCGATATGTGTCCCCTTAACCTCTCATCATCGGGGGGGGGGGGGGGGGGGGGGGGCATGTGCCCCCTAACCTGCTCATCATTAGTCTTGCACCTAATTTAAAGCGACTAAGAGTAATTTCCCCTAAAGCTCGCTCGCTCGCTCGCATTTATAGATGATACAATTATATGTCACTTTAAAACAAATGTTTTTTTAGTCTGCCGTGATGCTTATAACCCCATCATGATTTGTTTTTTTTCCCTCTTTATAAGATGTGATTTTTCACTCTACGACCTCACAGATCTTACATTTTTTCTCGCTCGCTTTGCTCGCTAGCAAATGAATATTCAGACAATCACACTTAGCCGAAAGTGTGATGCTTAAGCAATAACTTGTATGATATATAAAGAAAAACAAATATTGAAATCGTCCCTGATAATGGGATCACAATGAAAGGGTATTATACCAATGCCTAAAAAAATGTATATTTTCGCTTTGAGATTTCGCTTTGTAGGTGCCCTTTTTTGTTGGTGCTTTCCACTTTGGAAATAGCTCCTCCGCCCCTGCTTACGCATTAGCCCCAGCGTTAATTTCACGCTTGCGCGCACAGGGTGTGTGTGTGTGTGTGTGTGTGTGTGGGGGGGGGGGGGTTCCTCTCTAGCTCTGAAGCTGATTTTTTTTTTTTACCTAGATTCGTGCGATTCGGTTAATACTTTTAGAGGGAGTCTGAGGGGTGATGTGCCCCCCTCTGAAGCTGACATTTTTTTGGATTTTTGAAACTGGATTCGTGCGTTTTGGTTAACAATTTTTTGGGGAGTCTGATTTGATTTCAAAACACCTGCAGTTAATGCGTGATGGTGCTGCAGCCTCTCTTTCCCCGAAAATTTAAAAATTACCAATATGCATTTGTTATATCTTATCTCGTATATTTTGGTGACAATTAACACTTTTCACAACATACATAAGCTCAAATTTCCGCTCACTCGCCAAATTATTAAACCAGGAAATAGATATTGGGGCAAGAGGCTTCAGCCCCCACTGATGGAAATGTCAAAAAAAAATTGCGCGCGAGCATAACTTGAAAACGGGGAATGTTGATATCGGACAAGAGATGTGACGTGAGCATGTCCCCTTTCCAAAATAATTGTGCCCGTTTGTAGGTATCAATACACTATTAAAGTACAGTGCTTCTAATATGACCTTGTCAGTATTGGTAAGTTTATATAACGGTCTGCGCGAATTTCAAATTTCCGGCCCCCCCTATTGGAAAATCCTGGATCCGCGCCTGATTTAAGCACTATGTTCAATTTACATAAATTGTCATGCAAAGTGGCAGGCAGCCCTTATGGTGTTTGTCTCCCTCTTTGTTGGCTATTTCCTCAATTACGAGGATCAATGAGGATTTATTACTTTTATACAAGTTTATTCAAACGTTAAGTATCATAATTTTTTTTCTGATATCCAATGGTTGTAGAAAAATATAATGAAACTCAAGTGTATACAATGAAGCGGTATGTACAGTGTAATATCAAACCTATAACTGAGTCTGCCTAGGTCCTGTTGCATGAAACTTACCAGTGATGGTAAATCTGCCATCATTATCAAATACCATGGCAACGCATCACTCAACATCCAATCAAATCAAAGTTTCCATGGAAGTTACCATTAATGACAAAGTGAATGCTTGGGCAGCATCATTTTTATAGCTTTAAACTTTAACTAACCAAAGTTTAAAACAAGAGCTAAACTTAACTTTAGTTACGCTCATGTACAACCATGATCTGGGTTGAAGGTATAGACCAGTTCTTGCGATTGCATTGTGAAATCGATCAGAAAAGGTTAATCATCTAGCATGTATTGGTGTGTACTGAAAGGTTCTGGAATCATCAAAATGATAAGAAATTTGGCCCCGTCTTGGTAAAGTTACAAGCACTCTACACAGAAAGATGGATATGGGACTATATCTATCCAGGCCGGATAGATATGATAATTTACCAAATATATCAATTAGTAGGCGGTTTCCCTGCAAAATTTGTTTCATCATGGATTAGTCAAAACATATTCTTTCACATGATTGGTAATAAGAGCTTCCATTTCATTTTTTGAGAGGGGGGCATTTCCAAAAGTGGTCTATACCTTTAAAAACTCTGAGTAAGTAAACCTCAAGTTCCTGAAACCACACTAAAAGTGCATCCACCTGGTCCTCAACTATACAAGCTAACCTCAAAAATTCAAAGCCACGAGTTTAACTTATAGTTCACGACCTCTCCTGTTACCTAGCTATTAATTATGGCACTGTACCTTTTCTTCATAGTTGACCTTGAGTGCGGAGAGATGTGACATTAGATCCATACCCAAAGAACACCAGACATCTGCCACGCTGTACTGACCAGAACTAAATTGAAATTGAAATTAGAAATTGAAAATTAAATTATCATTATTTTTATTGTTATTATTATTATTATCATTTTTATTATTCTTATTATAATTAAAAATATAATTATAATTATTTTTTTATTATCATTAAGCATTTTTTTCAGTATAGACAAAATCAGGAAACAAAACAGTGAAGACAAAACAACACCTAAGATTTGAAATGAGTCACATGGATGCCTGGAAAAGAAATAAAATTAACTAAATATTAAACTGTAACCTAAAGCGAGGGTCTTCTTTTCCGAACCATGTGGCTTAACATAAAGTATAGCACAGAGTAGCAAGATATAAAATATAATGAATTGCAAGTATATTGAATTAGAGAAAAAGAAGAAACAATTAATGTTGCATTATAAATGCATATGTCTATAAAAAAATTAAAAAAAGGGAAAGAAAAGGAAAGGAGAAAACACAACCTGAAAAAATAAAATGAACCTCAAGAGGGCGCTATTACCTGAATGAGTAAATTCCAGTGTTCCATGCCTTTGTCATCAACCATACAATCTCCATTTCTGGATATGTGTCCTTCACAAGCAAAAGAAATTGCACAAATTGATTAAAATCAGTGAATAGACGTATATCACCATTACGCCTCTGCTTGTTTGAATTAAAGAATATGTAATGTACATTGGGCAAGTAAAAGCTACTTTAGCATTGTAGTAGATATAACAATTATTTTGCTTTTATTTCATTGTGTCTATGGCTCTGCTTCACAGTTCTGGTGAATTCATATATTATTAGAAAGGCACTACAAACACAAACTCCATTTATAAATCTCTTGCTGTTGGCAAATACATGGGGGATGCACTAACCCCGCCCGGCCCCCCTCCCCCACTCAGTGTTAATAATTAGGGTATGCGTATGCATGTTCCCTCCCTTTGAAAGCACCCCCCTATCTCCAGTGTGTAAAGTAAATACGGGCCAGATTTTTGTGTGTATTGCGGGCCAGACTTTAATTGTTGCATGAAAAGTACCCCTTAACAAGAGATTTGGGGAACACGAATGTGGTCCCTGCGTCCCCAGAGTGGTGGTGGTGGGGGGGGGGGGGGGGGGCACTTACTTTCTCTTCTGCTTGAAGGAGCTTGATAGCCACCTGATAAAGATGCCACGCCTCCTCCCTGCCTGCCGTACCAGGACTGCTACCCTCAACCAGGCACAGTCTGATAGCATTGTGAAGGGTTTTACTATCAAAGAGAAGGGATAATATTTAAAGGCAACATTAAATCTGAGATGCATGGCCCTACGTGTCATCAGTGTCTGTGATATGGCCTAATATTGAAGCCCTAAAAAAATTGCTCCGCTAAATGATCAAGAAGTGCCTCAAAAAGTAAACATATTTGAGTGACCAGTTCTACCACACTTATTTTTCCCAATAGACTTGATAATCTTGATAATCAGACAGGCGAACCGCTTGTAAAAGTCATGGAGTTCCTGACTGACCTAAATGTTTATAATTATCATTGCAGCATGAGCTAAATCCAGGATTTTGTTTCAGAATCTGAGACAAAGTTACCCAATCCCTTTAAGGCTAGTATCTGAACAAGACCAAGATATCTACTCCACCTCCATTTGTGTATCGGAAAGTATGTTATTATTTATTATAACATCTCTATGCACTTCCAAAGGACTTTGGATATCATTGCCCTGGCTTTGGACTTGCATTATGGAATACTGAAAATGGATCGACACAAAAATATAATTTTACTTGATGTTTTGTCTCATCTACGGTGATCAGATGTAATAATAATAATAATATTTGGTTCTTGTATAGCGCGTATCATTTTATATAACGTCTCTATGCGCTTCAAAAAAGCTTTGGAAATGATTACCCTAGCTTTAGCTCCAGCAGCCGTTATCAGCGCACAGTGCATTTCAAGGAATAATCCTACCAGGTACCCATTTACCTCACCTGGGTCGAGCATGGCAAATGTAGATTAATGTCTTGCCAAATGTACAAATCTATTAGATGTGGATGGTAAGGATGGGACAAAATACCTTGGACTTGATCATCTGTATTTAAAAGAAACATTGAAAGTGTGTAATTGTTGTCAATTTCCTGCCATGGCACTAATGTCATTTGGCAAGACATTAATCTATATTTGCCACACTCGACCCAGGTGTAGTAAGTGGGTACCTGGTAGGATTCGCTCCTGGAATGCATCGAGTGCTATGGTTGACAGAGCTAAAGCGCAGGCTAATACTATCCAAAGTCCCTTGGAAGTGCACAGAAACCTTATTTTATGTGATAAGCGCTATACGTGAACGGAATAATCTTTAATCATAGCAGCGTAACAGCTGCACTGCTAAAGCCAGGGTAATTATGCTGCATTATTGTAGAGCGCTTAGAGACTTCTGATAAAGTAAGTGTTAGGCGCTATACAGTGCGTCCCAAAAAAAACCATACACTTTTGAAACGGTTGCCGAATAAAAAATATATAATTCTGGGGGGAAAGTTTTATATGTACGGAAAGCTCATAAACTCAACTTTCATATGACACCAGAAAATTTGAAAACATTTCTGGCTTACATGTAGGTGAGCACTGCTCACTTTTGTAAAGGGTATGAAAATTAGGTTGTGCAGGAATTAGCCTTCCAATTTGTGAGAGGTAAATCCTTTGGAGCTTACAAAATTGAGGGTGATATGATACATTCATGATTTGCTGAGTGAATGTCATGGTTTATTAAACCAAGCTTTTATGCATGATTGAACAGGAATTGCACTTTTTATTGTAGCATTGTAACTTTCCCTGGTAGACTCAGTGGTGTGTTCATGATGGGAGTCAGGATAGGGTGATGGTACATGTTGTAATTTCCATGTTACAAACTGTTATTTTTTTTTACATCTGTGACTTTGAATAAAAACCTGCACCCCACATTTCAGTTACCATTTACCTGAAGAATAAGTAGCCGACATCTTGGACATTCCTTTTTTCAACAAACCGTATGTGAATATTCAATTTACATAATCCCTACCTAGGTATTAAGTAATTCAATGAGATGTTCAACTAATCTTACAATAATTGAAATGTGGGGTGAAGGTTTTATTCAAAGTCACAGATGTAAAAAACTAACAGTGTGTATTTTGTGTAGCATGGAAATGACACATAAGTGGATTAAGATAAAGTAAGAGCTGTAAGTTGTTACTCAGTCCTCATTCACCTTAGGCTGACAACCAAAGATGGAGAGGCCTCAGTTTTCACCACAGTAGCATTCTTTTATGGTAACAGAATACCCTCGCAGTAACAGTGCCACTGCTGTCCTTCGGAGGTTCCGGCATTGGAAGGCTAATTCCTGCGCAACCTAATTTTCATACCCTTTACAAAAGTGAGCAGTGCTCACCCAAGCATGAATTATTTTCTGACTTTTTTGGTGTCATATGAAAGTTGAGTTTATGAGCTTTCCATACATTTTCCCCAGAATTATATATTTTTTTATTCGGCAGCCATTTCAAAAGTGTATAGTTTTTTTTGGGACGCACTGTATAAGCAAATATAATTATTATTATTATTCTATTTTATCAAAGAAGCATCACATCATTTCTGATCATTTACCACATACTAGGGAATTTATTTAAATCTCGATGAAAACTCAAGGTTGGATTTCAAATACAATTAAAAACACAAACAGAGACATAAGAAATAGTACAAATAATTCACACAAAGTCAAGGACACCAAAGAGTCTGATACATAAATATGGAGATGTTTTCAAAATACTGATTTTTAAAGATATACTTGCCTGCATGTTTTGATGTCAATATCCTTTGAGCTCATGTGTTTCTTAATGGCAGCATGGAGGAGCTTCTTACTCTGCTGTTTGTAATGGGCAGGTGGCTCCATGGCAAGAACTTTCAACAACAACAAATAAATAAAAAATGTTATAATCATGATGAAGATTTATTATTCTTTTACTTCCCACATTGAAAAATATAAAGTAGGGATGTCCACTAAAAAGGAATACCCTTGAAATAAGCAAATATTACTGACATGAGTAAAAAATTACTTTGAGACCTAATACAATACTGCATTTTTTTTGCGGCCAATATGATGATTTATACAGACCTTTGAAAATTTGTTGTTGATAATCTAAAGCAGGCCTTCTCAACTGGCAGCGCGTCCGCCACTTGTGGTCAGTCGGAGTGGCGCGCTTAAATTTTCGTTTTGACACGTTTTGACACTGATCTAAAGGTTAAAGGTCACCATTCTGATTGGAACATTACAATAAGTAATAATTAGACCAAACACCCACTGTGACAATAGTATTCATTTTGCTTTTTACCCCATTTATTTTGTGAAATCACTGTGAAAATATGAAATATGAAACAAGAAACTGAAACTGAAACTTTCATTATCTGCACAAGATATGAACCTACTGACCTGCCAGAGTTTCGATGGTCTTGATGTCATAGTCGGGCGATGAAAGGACTTGCTTCAGAAGCTGGTCCAGTTCCGAGGGTCGTCCCAGCTTCGCCAAGGCCTCAAACTCATAGAGCAGCAGCATGGAATAGGCTCTGTCCCTGTTCTCACCGTCTAAATATTGAGATGAGAAAAATGGTTAGCCAAGACCTATATCTCACTGGGCAGTAAGCCACAAGATGAATGCAACTCTTATATGCCTCTGCCTATGTGCTCTTTCTTCAATGATCCTTTGAATATTTGCAACACTTTACCCTGTGACCTTTGACCCTTTACCTGCTATTACACCCAAAATATAATTACTTCATTCTTGCATGCTCATACATACTTGATCCTAAAATCAGTTCAATGGGGCTCGAGTTATGACAGTAACGAAAAGCGGGACAGACAGATGGACAAAGGACATACCGAAAACGCAATGCCTCCAGCGCCACCTTCAGAGGCGTATGGATAACAAAACAAACAAAAACAAACAAACAAACAACTAAACAAAAAAACATACTGGCATTTAACAATTCCTATGCGACGGGGCCTAAAACCTCTTTAAGACACGACACTCACTATTGGCAGCAAAAGGAAAACTGCATTACGTGTAAATGAGTGACATGGGAAAGAAGAAAAGTAGCTGCATATACTTACCTCCCGAGCCATCACCATGTAGTTGAGAGCACACATTCTGACATGAATATACATGTTCCAGCACCTTCTCTAAAGATACTCGCTATAGAGAAAACAAACATTACGGAAGTGATAATCAAAATTGACACAAAATGTTCTGTGCCCATACCGGTAAGCATAAGGATGTAAAAAACTTTGAGGCTGTCAATAACATTAATAAGCCATGCAATTCTTGTGTAAAAAAACTGATGAATTATACACATTACAACAAAAAAGTTATTTAAAGTTAGCCAAGCCTAGGTTGTCATATCTCCCCATAAATATCTATTTCCCGTATTCAACATATTTATGAGATTCATTCCATTCACTTTCTATCAATGAATCATATGTTTGATGAATTGTATACAATTGATATCAATCTGTTTGCCATTATTTTGGTATAAGATAGCTAATTCCATAGAAAATGTTCAGTTGCCCAAAGTTATAAACATTGGCAACAACTGCCATGATTGATACTACCATGTATTACCCTGATAAATTTATTATCAAACAGAAAAGCTTAACAAGCTTTTTAAATTTAATGGGTATATCAACAGGAACCTTAGGGGACAATTTTGTTTAAAACATCATAGATTTGGGTAGCATTATTTCATACCACCAACACTTCAGAGTCCTGTAGAGTCGTGAAGTGTGACATCATAAACAAATCTATTTTTTGGAATTTCTCAAATTTTTTTTCTTCATTTTCCAAAAGAGCATCAAAAATAATGTCCAAATGTCAAAAACCAATTGAATATGTTAAGTATTGGCTAAGATATGACCATATGAATAAATAGATGTCCTATGGGAAGTCAGTGTTCCCATAGGACCAGTGCTCTGGTTCATAACATTACGAGCCAGAGCAATATAACATCAAGTTCCCGTAGGAACAATTGGCGATCAATAAATTCAATTACATCAAATCAAGACTTGATTATTTGTCTCTTTTTGTGTTCTGTAGAACTAATCACTTATAAAAAAACTTCATATTTAATTCACATTAAATTTATATAGATTTGGTCTATTCTTCCATACAGTGCTCAATGCCTATAGGCAGAGCAAAATATATATTGAATAAGGCAGACTAATAGAACATCCATATATATATATATATATATATATATATATATATATATATATATATATATATATATATAATATATTACCTTATCATCTTCTTCCTGTGCTTCTCTAGCCATCTGAAGACTAGCAGCAGCAGCCATCACAAGGCATGTCTTTTGTCTTCCTAGATTGCTGGCATCGTTGGAAAGAAGCTCACAGAACTATGCAGGAGAAAATATAATGAAGGGTAAAAGAAAGTAAGAGAGGGGAAGGAGAGGCGAGGAAAAGGGAGGAAAAGGGAGGAAAAAGAAGAGGGGGTGGGGGGGGGGAGGGGAGTGAGAGTGAGAGAGGGAGAGAGAGAGAGAGAGAGAGAGAGAGAGAGAGAGAGAGGGAGAGAGAGCTAGGTAGACAGGAGAAATAAGAGAAGAAACAAGAAAGGGGAAAAATAGAAAATAAAGACAGACAGAAAGGGAGAAGAGAAAGGAGAGGGGAAGGGAGAGAGATAAAAGAGAGAAAAGACGAGAGGGAAGGGAGAGAGAAAGAAGAAGGGATAGAGGCAATGAAGGGGAGAGTGGAAAGAGCAATTGGAAGAGAAGGAGGGGGCAAACAGACACAAAATATACAAAAGCAGAGATTGATTTCAATATGAAAACACAACCATCATCAAATTAACATGATTATTATTACAAATACAGGCAATGCATGGACAATCAGTCTTACCTTTACTTTAACATCAATTTTAACATTTGATTTCATTTCACTTAAGTGTGCAACCCGTCATAAATTTTAATCCAAACTGTGCCTATAATAATCATCACTTTTACACTTCTTTAGCTAACAGAATAGTATCACATACCTGACTACACTTAGCAAAGAAGAGGTGTGTGAGTCTGCTCACAGTGGAATGCTCAATGGCCATATTCCATGCTATATCGGACAGAAAAAGAGAGACAGAAAGGAAGGAAAAAAAGAAAGAAAGAAAAAAAATAAGAATGAATGAAATAAAGAACATTGAGAAATTGTTTAAAGATATACATGTACTTCATGTATCCCCAAAGGAAAATAAAAATGAAGATTAATCTATAGAACACTACAATTTCTGAAGTCATGTAAATCAACTCTGTAAAGATTGTCAGTATTCACCAAAGCAGAAGGAAGATATAGACTCATTAAGAAAAAAAATGTGTATTACTAAATATGGAGAACTCAAATTTTTTGATTTTTCAGATTGCTTTTAGACAAATTATCTGAGATATTGATTTGGAGAGTTGATGATGCTTACCTACTTTCATGAACCATGCTGCTTCATTGTTAAGCATGTCCTTCTCACCGGTAGACTTGGGTTCCTTCACAGCAATGCTATTCAGCTGAACTAGAACTGTGAAACATATTATGAATATGTTGATATAATATACCTGGTAGTAATAGTAGTTAATCTTGAGTTCTGGTACTGGAATGGCATTTCAAGAGAGATGGCTTTCACACAATTTTGAATTGATGAATAATAATATTAGTAGTAGCAGTAGTAGTAGTAGTATAAGTAGCAGCAACAGTTACAACAACAACAACAACAATAAATCAAATCAAATAATAATTATAATAATGATAATAATAACAATAATAACAACAACAACAACAATAATAATAATAAAATTAAGAATAATTGGGCATATCAAGCGCCCTTTTCCAGAAGACACAAGGCGCATGTCATTCAGTCAATCAACAAATCAATCAATCAATCAATTGTAGAGGTATGCTTTCAGATGATTTTTGAAGAAGTCAAGTGAAGTATACTATTTCTTAGAAATGCAGGGACTTTATATTCCATAGGCATGGGTCAATAGATTGAAAGGATTTGAAGCCAGACCAAGAGGTTATAGCGGGTGCCCTCTTATTTTTTAGAACAAAAGTTTAGAATAAAAGCTTAATCTTTAGTAAACCTAAGAGTTTTTAATGATCACATAAAGTGTAATGCTTATAACACAGAGATCAGGGACCACACATGTGACCTCTGACCTTTGTTGTGCGCAGCTGCTATTCATTTACATTTACATGCACAAAACTGCAGCTTGCTTTTTGTTTGCAGCAATTTACCACATTATATCTGAACAGCCTTAAGTTCGGATTAAATCATTTAATTTCATAAATGGCTCTAACACTTCCCAACATGAATTACAACTGTAAACAAATATCTGTAGAAAACTTACAAAAACCAATCGAAACCCCTTCCAATTGAATTTTTCAGGCAAAAAAGAAGAATAAGAAATTTAAAACACAAGTGAACTGGAACTGTTGACAAATTAATAAATAGTTTATGAAAGCAAAACTATAAGAAAAAAATAGAAATTTGAAAGGAAGACAAAATAGTAAGTTGACCAATGTTGGCAAAAAACAAAACAAAATCTCTGAATTAAATCACATTTTGTAATAGTAAAAACAACTCAACGTCAGGAGTTAACGGGAGAGATCGAACCTGATTCTACGTATGATGCTACGGCATTTGCTTCCATTCTACAGGTAAACAATTATAAAAAACGCAAAATGTGTTGAAGAAAGTTCATATTTTTTCCTTCAATTTGTCAGTTTTTATATTATCTTGCAGCATATTACTATATCCGTACTTGAAGATTCAAATATATTCTTTTTTGTCAAAGTGCTGTCACTCTAACTATGAGGGGAAAAAATAAAATTAATGGAATTTTATGGGAGATGAGCAAAATTTATACAATGATCATTCAATCACGTGTGGAAACATACTATTTTATAATAAAGAATGATCTTCTTTTTTCAAAAAATAGGGGATGTCAGAAATTGTAAATCTGTTAACTCTTTAGCTGTAACGTTCCTTGCTTATTCGTTTTTTCATTTGTTTGTGTTTGTTCTTGTGGAGCAAGAGAAGATATTTGGTAAAAATCTATTTATCCCACGCAAATAATCTCCCTGTGCCATATTGTTGATATCCTGAGATAAATAAAACAAAGGCTTCAAGATTTTGTAACTGTTTCCAGGGCAAGATTAATTTAGATTGGTGTCAAAAAGGATGTCATGGAGCTAACCAAGATTGGAAATGGGTCATTTTTGCAAAGCCATTGTGTTGAACAAAGCAATCCTTCCATCAAGTGGTGCTCATTGTTTTGTGACAAATTTGCAGATGGAGCAAACAAGTGACTACGTAGAGAGGCAAAGGAAGCAAGCAGAGAGTGCAAACTTACACTGGATCTGAACTCTCTCCGGATAGAGTCAACCTCAATCTTGTTAGGCATCTGAAAAAATATAAGGATCGTGTAATGTTTTCGTAAAAAAACATGATCATCATCATTTATTATCGTCATTTTCCCCCCCTCTTAAGAAGGGTTACTTCTTCTTCTTCTCGAGTCACTACGCCACACGATTGTCCCAATCCAGTGTTGTAAGCATTGTATCGCAGAGGGGGTTAATGCATCCAGATTTTCTTGGGTACAAGGGATTAGTAGATGGTAGAGCGGTGACTGAGTTCCATGCTATGATGATCAACACTCCCTCCCTCCACTTCTTCTTGTGTCAGGCATCCGCCTCATTTAGACTAACTTTACTGCTTTATTTCTTCACCATACCTTCCATGAAATCTTCAGTATTCCCTCTTATGCCATCCACTTCCAAATCCGACGCTCCTTTCACAGATTCATCATCTTCCCCAGATCGAAATGTTGATGATCAAGGAGTCCTGCAATTCACATTCATTCTCGAAGCTGGCTGTACGTGTTCTTCATATCTTCTTTTCTTGAGCATTCTTCTCATTTAAACTGAACTTACTGCTTTCTCTCTTAATTCACCATACCTTTCCATGAAATCTTCAGTCTTCCTTTCCCTCTTATGCCACCCACTTCCAGATCCGACGCTCCTTTCGCAGGTTCATCATCTTCCCTTCTCAACACATGACCCATCCAGGACAATCCAGGTCTTTCTATCACTTCCACCAGTTTCTTCCAGACCCAACCTTTCCATGAGCTCACTTGCATTCTCTCTATCAGACACTTTCCCGCACCACACATCTTCCGTATCATGGCTCTTTCTGTTCTCCTCAAGATATCTTCTTCTACTTTTGTTCAGGATTTGCTTTCATCATATTCAATCGCATTTATATTTAATGGAGAATATTTGACCAAACCTTGCATCGACCAAAAATTTAATAGGCAGAGGCAAATTTGACATAAATCAGGAAAACTGCTACTGTTCAGCTTTCCATGGTCAGATTTTACTAATCAAGTTGTCAAACTAAAAAAAACATAGATTATAACGTATCTTTGAATAAATCACTATGAACTGATTGAAATGATATTTACGGTTGAATTCAGGGGGGTGTTTCATAAAGCTGTTTGTAAAGTTACGCATGACTTTACAAATGACTTATATATGAAAAGCCAAATGGGATGCTCAATCATTTTTAACTGCACCAACGTAAGTTGAACTGTGCACATGTAGATTAACATTCTTATTACAACAAACCTTTCTTAATGCAAAGTATATCTTTTGCCATAATTTCATGGAGGTTATTGGAAATACAGTCGCACTTTGTTAAAACAACAGAAAAAACCTTGGGCATCCTATCTGTCACTTCATATTCAAGTCGTTCGTAAAGTCATGCGTAACTTTACGAACAGCTTCATGAAACAACCCCCAGGCGTCTAAAAAAAAAAACTCATCATGTACAGTTTGGGCAATGTGCCACCATTATTTAATACAGTTTAACATAACTTCTCATGCAGACCAACCTGAAGCACGTCAGGATCTGCTGCACATCCGAAGAATATTTCACAAGGCTTTCCAGAGCTGAAATGGCAACCTTGCGATTACTCCGCTGGAGAGAATTTAAAATTAGAAAAAAGAAAAAAAGATCATGGGTTATAAACATTAAGAGACAAAGGTCAAATGATTTCTTCTAATGATCAACATCAACTCAAAAATATCAATAATCATGCTCTCAATTTCGATTTGGATTAATACAAAATATTAGAAATATACATGGCCTATTCTATGCAAAGTTTTCACCTATTACTACTTTAAAAAACACTTTTCTTTCTACAGTATAACAAGCCAGGCTAATATTATTACAGACAAAGATGTGATCGGCTCACAGCTCGTCACGCAAGGATATGAATTATCATACTTCACTCCCGGTAATTTGTTATGGTTATATTTTTTGCCTCATAACGTATCCAAGCAGCTCTTTGCGTACCAATCGTTTGCATTTTCTTAGCCATATTTTCGCATTTGACACGGAAGGCTGGACAGCTAAAGAACAAAGCACGGCATGAAATCACAATTATTTTAAATTTTATATGGTAGGAAGTGTGACTGTAACATACTTGTACATTTTTTTAGACCACAAGGGATTTACATTTCCCTCGTTAAAATATGATCCCTCGGGAAAATATAACTCCCTTCAGCGGTCCAAAGAATGTTATATAATTACACAAAATGTGTATAATATCTTATCAGCTTCCTTGGTTCAATTATTTCAGTATTTCCAAGCACAAGATAAATGATAGAAATAAAAGCCTTCTAATTACATCTTGATTAGATATGAAACTATTGCTGGTGTAACATCAAGCAACTGAGATACGCATGTTCATGTAATACATGCACATATTCTTTTAACTATTGTTGAACAGCTTCAAGGCAGCCCCTTACAAGCTGATAATTGTAAGAATAGTAAGAAGTGCATAAATACAGATAAACCTTATATGTACAAATGATTTACATATATTTTGCTCATCTTCTCCTGTATCATTGTTGATATCGATTATCTATTATATTTTAAATCTTGTACAATTTCATTGAATTCATTTATTTATAGTGTAATACTATTTTACTACAGTTATGCTAATTGGTTTGTATTTTATATTTTTTGCTGGTTATGATGTATTGTCAGGGACCCATAGAAGACCAAATTTTGTTGAATGGGCTTCTCAGGTGAATTATGAATAAATATAAATGAATAAATATATATTTCGAGTGGTGTTCTGAACATCAGAGTTAAATTTCAATTGCAGCCACGAGCTGATGGCTATTGAAAACAGTGATGAACTAGTCCAATTTGTAGTTGACTTGTCCTATATAAAAAGTCTGTGCTCATACCAAAAAAGGCAAGCACAAAAGTACCCCCTACATGAGACTAGTAATGAAAATCATAAGGGCAATCCCAAGAAATTCCATGTTGGTGCTGATGAAGATATCAGAAGATTACTAGCACAGTAAATACAATTTTTTCATCTACCCCCTGCCCGTCATATCCTCTGCTTGGAGCCACAAGAGCGTTAACGCATATACATTAACCATTTGACTACTGAGTTCTCTTATTCCAATAGACTTTATACAGGGGTCACTCCATTCCTGTGGGCAATGGGTTAAAACAGAGTTAACATGTCTTGTGCCTCACCGTCTCTAGGTCAAATAGAGCAGTGAATTAAAGCAATGTATGAACGTCATTAGGCCCAAAAAGAAATATGTTGTATTGCCCTTTAGGTGCCAAAAGATGGGTCGGTCGGTCAGAAATCTCCTTTTTTTTTTGATAACTTTTTTTCCTTCTCCTTCTTTGGGCTGATATTTCTTAGTTTTTAATGCTTTAATATTTTTTTTCTCTAAAAAACGGTTTAAAAAAAAAATTGATTAAAAGCTGACTGTAGATTTCAAGATATTTGGGTTGGTCGTAAAGGGCAATACAACATCTTTTTTTATTAGGCCTTATAAGAGGAGGTGCAATAGCTCAGCGGTATAGCAGTGGTCCCGGGAGGTCCTGGGTTCGAAACCCAAGTCAATGAGCTTAGTGCCCTTTGGTAAGGCATAAATCCTCATTACCAAGTCCTTTGGAGAGGACTTACAGCCATAGGTCTCCTGATTGCCTAATTACAAGCATACACATGCTTTCTTTTATAGCAGTCAGGTAAAACAAATTCAATTGTAGCCACGAGCTGATGGCGAACATCATTTTAAGTGGAGGCGCAATAGCTCAGTGGTCCCAAGTTTGAAACCAAGTCAATGCGCTAGTGCCCTTTCGTAAGGCATAAATCCTCATTACCAAGTCCTTTGGAGAGGACTTACAGCTATAGGTCTCCTGATTGCTTAATTACAAGAATACACATGCTTTCTTTTATAGCAGTCAGGTAAAACAAACAAACAAATAAAAACTAGGAATAAACGGTACTCATCTTACAGACCTAGAATGGATTGTATTTTTATCTTTTTTGCTGGTTATCATGTATTGTCAGGGACCCATAGAAGACCAAATTTTGTTAAATGGGCTACTCAGGTGAATTATAAATAAATATAAATAAATAAATATGTATTTCGGCAGTGTTCTGAACATCAGAGTTCAAATTCAATTGTAGCCACGAGCTGATGGCGAACATCATTTTAAGGGGAGGCGCAATAGCTCAGTGGTCCCAAGTTTGAAACCAAGTCAATGCGCTAGTGCCCTTTGGTAGGAGTACTTACAGCCATTTGTCTCCTGATTGCCTAATTACAAGCATACACATGCTTCTTCAAATAGCAGTCAGGTCAAACAAACAAACAAATAAAATAAAAACTAGGAATAAACAGTCTTCATCTTACAGACCTCAAATGCTAGTTGCGCTGCCAACGAGATAAGACTATGAATGTCCTCCTCTTTCTCCTCGTTACAGGGGCCCTCCTCCTTTACATCCGAGGCAACAGATCCCAGTTTCTGCAAGGCTGCTACAGCTATTGAACAAGAAAGAAGGAGCATATATCAGTGCACTTATAGCATAATGAGTGAGATAGATGTGATATGCGCATGCGTGCGCTCTCAAGGTTCAAGTCACGGAGCTCCAAAGGGTACCTGGAGCACTGTTTTTTTTAAATCACTCTTTTGCTAAGACACCTTAAAGCCCCTCTAAAGTGTTGAACGGACCTCATTGTTCTCAGGGTTACTTTGGACATATTCTGTGTGGCAGTGGGAGCCCCCTAGCAGCACAAATAATAGAAAGCCAAGTAGAAGGGAAAAGAAAAAGAGGCAGACAGAGAAAGCAGTGGTTCGATATCATCAAAGAATGGACAGGTCTCACATATTCAGAAGCCAAAAGATCAGCACAGAATAGAAACAATGGAAACAAAAAACAAGAAGATGTGCAGATGTGGTCAGCAACTGACGGTGGCAGCCAGGTAAGGTTAAGTGTTGAGAGCCCCCAAATTTGATGGCAAAATTTCACTTCAATTGTATCATAATGTGAAAGAGCATGTCATTTAAGACACATTCCTGCAAAGATTTCCCCAACAAATGTGTTTGAAGTCGAATACTGATGAAAGAATACAAAATTTAGGTTTTCTACGTGCAACAGAAAATCCAAATTATGTATTTTGTATCAATATTGTCTTCAAACTCATTTTTGGGGGGAAATCTTTGCAGAAGTTTGTCTAAAACAATGCCTCGACGATCTTTCACATTATGATACAATTTCAATCAAATTTTTGGCAAATGTGGGGCTCCCAACACTTTAAGAGGGGCTTTAAGCGTGCAGCTAGGGCAGACATCAAGAAAGCATGAAGTATCTTCAAACCTCATTAACACAGACACAGCATCAAACAATCCGATTTCACACGTGATTGAATGGTAATTACTTACCTCCATCATTATCTCCCTTGTGTATTGCAACCTTGAACCACAGGTAGTAGGTGTAGAGGTTGCTGGGGTCACATTTTTCAGCTTCCCTCATGGCTTCTTCGGCCTAATATTAACACAAAGGTCAAAGGTCAGTCATGTATCCTTGATCCAACCTTACTCAAAGGCATTAGGTCTTCTCAATGAAGTCCTGGGATGGTATTCTAAGCATGATTTTATCTCTAAAATAATTCATTTTATCTTTGAAAAATATTCGGTTTTCGAAACCACTTTTTATTTCAGATTTGTCTTTCATTATCTTGAATGCTTACGCATGACACGCACCTTTCCAACGCTAACGCCCATCTTATTTAGAGTGATAGTTAACATTAAAGGTAATACAATTTTCACAATTTCCCAAAACTTTGTATTACCTTTAAACTAATTTAATAGGGTAGGGTAGATTTTATTTCTCAGACGTATGCCAAGTGCAATATTCTTGGACAAGCATGCCGCTAATCATTTGATCAAACTAAATAGTACATGCATTCACCAGCTCCACATATTAACGATGTAGTTCTACCGAGAGTTTTCAACAGTTAAGCACTTTGCTTTCCAAACGCGTCTTTTTGTGTTACTACACTGGGCTAAGCTACCCTGATACCTTTTGAAACTGCTGCAGGTTGATGTAAGAAGATGCCCTGTTGCGCTGGAGTTTGGCGATGTTGGGCTTCTCCATGTCGGCGTTCTCAGTTAAAAGACTCAGGGAGTAGTTGTACCACACGATGGCTTCTGTGAAGTCACTACTCTGTAGAAAGAGAGAGAGAGAGGAGAAATGATGTAAAAATGAGGAACATTCAATTCAATTCAATTCATTTTATTCATTTCCATTTTCAATAAAAACAATACAAAGGTATATTGCAATATATAAGAAAATGAAAATAGGGAACTAAAAAATAAGGCCAAATGGCCTTGTGGAGGCATAGTTCCCCGAACAGTAGTTAAGTTATTTACATATACAAACAAAACTAAAAAAGAAACATACATGACAAAACATGACAGGGACATCATTCATGGCAGGTAATACAAATGGAAATAATCATTACAAAATCATAGGTTCAAAAACAGTTTTATGTATTGCTGTATAATATGATGGGAAGGAATGGGTGGATAATGGAGAGACAGAGAACGTCTTTAATAAAACCATACTGTATTAGGAGAACTAACGCAAAATAAGAATTATTCAATTAATTAATCTCTTTATGAGCTGAGAGAGGAATGAAAGAAAGGGATGGGCTGGATGTGGAATGGCAGGGATGGTAAAGGGACCTTAAAACACTTTCTGGGACCCGGTTCACAAAGCCTTTATTCTATGAAAAAGGACAAAAATCATTGACATCTCTGCTGATAACCAATTAGAAGCAAGGATTTCAGTAGCTTATAACAAAAACTGCCATGTGTCACTGATGACAAGTTTTGTGAAATGGGGCCCAGATCTTATGAAGATGTGAACATGTTCAATTACTCAATTCTTTTCTTTTTTCCACACTAAAAGAAATCTGATAAACATTCTTATTTTCTATGCTAAATAGTAAATAAAAATAGCAATCAAGATATCTCCATCAAAGAAATATGATTAAAATGATTTTTAACAAATTAATATCATGCATAAGACTGTGGCTGAGAGTATTTCATCAAAATTCATAACTTTTTTATTTTTCATCCAAATTTGCTCAAACTTCCACTGACCTGTTCCCCTCATTTTCCGCTTCCATTTAAACCAACTTAATATGAGGGTGGACTTTCCCTTTGATATTAATTTGTCCAATCACAAACCTCAAAAGCTGCTGCAGCTTGTTCCCAGAGTAGCGTATGGAGCTGCCTCAGGACTGGGCCATCTAGCTTGCTTCGATAATCTGAAAGATACACGTACATAAAAGAGACCTAAATGAGCATTTTTCCTACTTTTGTTTATTTTGTCTTCGAATGCCAACAAATGAATAATAAAATACTTTTGTATTGTGAATTGTGCCTCAGAATAGTTTAACCCTATTTAGCCCGGGGGGGGGGGGGGGGGGGGGGGGGGGGGGGCTTCTAAGATCTAATGATCTCGGCCGTGAAATGCCCGATCGCCGCGAAAATTTGCATACATGTCAAGTGAAGTGTATAGAATACTATGGTAATTTCAAATTTTTTTAGAATTCACTCATTTTCATATTTATGGTAATTTATGCAAATAAGGTCATAAAATTCACATTTTTGCCCATAAATCAGACATTATTCATACTTAAGCATTCTTTCTCACTACATATATTTGTTAGACCATTTGGAATAATAATACAACACAAAAAATTGAAAAACCAGGGTTATTTCTTATGTTATCTATTGTTTTGAATTTTCTTAAGTATTTTCTTAAGTATTTCTTTGTTTTTTTAACTTTTGTATTTTATTATTTTTGTTGTTTTATTTCATTTCCAACTATAATTCAACTATTTTGACCCCAAAATAAACACCTAAACTATAAACAAGACCAAATAACCTATGTTTTACCTCTTTATTTGAAAAATGAGATTTCCATATGTTTTGTACACAAATCACAAAAATGAGTAATTTTCGGGCTGACATGCGAAGACAAAAGGACACGTGACTTTGTAATGGTAGGTCCGATTTTCAAAAAATTTCTTTCAAAAGATGCGCAAGGCTCGAAAGAAAAAAGTCACAAAATTTCAGTGCAAGATTTTCTTGCGTTAAAAAATGTCGAGGGGGGGGGGGGGCTTCTAAAGCCCCCGCCCCCCGGGCTAAATAGGGTTAAGTAGAAAGATGGCGCCATATAAGTGTGTTATATTATTATTACTTACTCTACACAACTTATGTAGGGTTGAACCTAACCTACATTTAAGCAGCTTTTATGAATATAGGCCTCAGTTCTTTGCCTAAAAAGACTAATTCTGGTCGGTTTTAACATGTGAAAAAAAATACATCCATTTGCTAAATCTTGTCTATATTAATATGATATTTCCTAGAAAAATAGACTACATGTATATTTCTTTCAGTTTTAATAGAAAAAAAGTAAAATAGACAAAAGCATATATTTAGGCTAAGCATTTGCAACAAAAGATAGATGAAATATATTTCAATTTGAAAATAGTAAAAAAAAAGAATTTCTGTGCTGTTTTTCATTATCTTTCGACTAGCTTTAGACTATATTATTTTGACTAGGGAAGATATCCAGGAGTATTTTTTTTTACCTGCAATGATTTCTTCCACTAGGTTCCTGGCTTGCTGGTGTCTTTTGTTCCTTGTCAGGAGCTCCAGCTGCAGCACCAGCAGTTTACCAACATTGGGGGATCCTGCGAAGCGGCTTGTCAGACGTCGGCACGCCGTCTGAGATAAATCAGTTCTTGGTGAAACATCAAAGAGGAAAATAGCAATAATAATAATATTAACAATAATAATGGGTTCTTGCATAGCGGTCATGTCTGTCAGACTTGACACTCCTGGCGCTCCCGATTATTACCCTGGCTTTAGCACGGCTGCCATTACAGCGCTCTAGCATTTCAAGGAATTAATTCCTACCAGGAACCCATTTACATCACCTGGGCAAAAAGATACCAATCACAAACATAAAGTAAGAACTTGTAACATCAGGGGCTCCTGTGCCGTCTGGGATAAATCAGTTCTTGGTGAAACATCAAAGAGGAAAGTAGTACCAAGACCCAGTTATTTAGAGCAATTACATACATACCAATCATAAACATATAGTAAAAACTTCACACTTGTTTTGCTTAACCCCGTACTATCCTTAACCGTGGACTAACTTTTTTGGCTTTAATCACTGCACAGTTCATTAGCCCCGTACTAGCCATAGCATGAATATTCATTTATTTGCTCCACCGCGTAGTCCCGGACTATTTTTCGTTTCTGTTCTCATTCATTTGTTTGGCACCGCGATTGCGGAGTTAGCAGGAGTTACCACCAAAATTGCGGGGTTAGCCCTGCTATTTTGCAGGACCAGCTAACCCCGTACTATAGGTTGGGCTAGCCCACTTTCGTAAATACGTGTCTGAATAGAAAGTGGAATAAGCTTAACCCCAGGCTATAGGTGAGGCTAAGACCCCCCTTTTACCCCACCTATAGTCCGGGGTTAAGCAAATTTTTGCCAGTGTGAAAAGAAAGGGGGATAAGCTTAACCCCGGACTATAGGTGGGGCTAAAACCCCCCCTCTAACCCCACCTATAGTACGGGGTTAAGCAACATTTTACCAGTGTGAAAAGAAAGTGGAATAAGCTTAACCCCAGACTAAAGGTGGGGCTAAGATCCCCCTTTAACCCCACCTATCGTACAGGGTTAAGCAAAATATTGCCAGTGTGAAAACAGTATTAGTGTAATAAATGGGTACCAGCCTGCTGGTAGGAAGAAATTCCTTGAATGCTTAAGCACCTTATTAGCTCAGCTAAAGCTAGGGTAATAATATGATTGTATGGCCCTCAGGGAGAACAGTATTAGTACTGATGAGGCTACCCTGTGTAAACAAGACATAATATTACTTTTTTAAATAATTCAATATCATCATCATCATTATAATCATTGCCCACCCGTTGGACATAAGGGTAAACGATTATTATGTTATCGTGTTCACAACCACGGTGTAAGATAAATAACCACCTTTGTGATTTCAGATCTTAATATTCAGAAATACCTGAACTTACTTTTCATGCTTTGCCAATAGTTTGACAGTTTCCGCTGCGAGGTCCACAGATAGATCCTGATGGAGGATGGCTTCTTCCATAGCTAGATGAATACAGAGAGGATAGTTACAGCCGTAGTTGAGTGGTTTTGAGGTGTCATAGTCAAGTGGTTTAAGCACTTGGCTTGCATTTAAAGGTTGTGGGTTCGGTCCCCCAATGCAGCACTAATGTCCTTTGGCAGGGCATTAATATATATTTGCCACTTCATACCAAGGAGATAAATGGGGACCTGGTAGGAATACTCCCCAGGGAGTGGACATGGTGCACATTTTTCCATGAATCTTTGGAAAGCACAGCAGGGGAAGCTGAATAATTCACTCTTACTTTATCTGTCGTATCTTAATTGTAATATACAGTGAATCTTTGGGCTCTTGAATAAATAATAATAAGCCTCCTACTAAATACCTGCTTGTAACATTTTGTTATCAACGCTGTCTCCAAGCAGAAGAATCTTGACCTTGAGGTGGAGTCCAAATGGGTGGATGTACTCCTGTGTGGAAAGAAGAGCAAAATCAATTGAGCTCTAATGCAGTCAAACCTGCTTTAGTGACCACCTGTCTACAAAGACCACCTGTCTACAAAGGCCACATTCGTTGTGGTGTCGTGTTGTGGTCGAGTGGATACGTCGCCGGACTGTCGATCACAAGGTCTGCGGTTCGAGTCCCACCGCTGCACTAATGTCCTTTGGCAAGACATTGATCTACATTTGCCACACTCCACCCAGGTGAAGTAAATGGGTACCTGGTAGGAATTTATTCCTTGAAATGCAGCGCGCGTAACAGCTGCACTGCTAGGGTAATTATGCTGCATTATTGTAGAGCGCTTAGAGACTTCTGACAAAGTAAGTGTTAGGCGCTATATAAGCACCGTAATTATTATTTATTTATTATGTGTTTCCCTTGAAAATGGTTTCTCATTGAATCATGTACTAAAAGAACCTGTCTACAAAGGCCACTTGTTGTGTTTCCCTTGGGCGGTCACTTTAGACAGGTTTGACTGTAGCTGCAAATTACAACAGGATAATAGGATAATAAAAGCCTCCTGCACATCCGGAACACAAAAAGGCATAATAGTAAGTGATGTTGGTTAATCAAAAGTTTATTTTTGACATATCTCAATGAAATAAAATGAATGAAAGTACAAATGAGAGAGGAAAATAGAATGAGAAAGAGAGATAATAAACAATAATAATATGATAACAATATATGAGATTTGTAAGGCGCTGAACCCACAAATACAGAATGGAAGAGAAATCTTTTGAGATCTTTTAGAGACCGATAAGGGGGTAAGATGGGGGGAAAATTGAGAAACAGACAGACAATCAATCACAAAGGCTGTATTCAACTATTTAAACCCAACACAAATTCTAAAATAATGTTCATCAAAGGAAAAAGGCGTAACTAGACACCGGTTTCTATTTAAATTCCTTTGCTAAACTTGACTTCTAATAGACCTAGCTTAAATAATTTTAGACAGACAAAAGTGTTTTACTTACAGCATTAGCCAGACTAACAGCATTCAAGGCCTTCTGACAGTACTCCTTAGCGTCCCAGTCCAAGTAGGCATTGGCAAGAAGACGTAGGGTTCTTGCCTTCAAGGAAAGTAATCAATGCATCAACAATCATTCATGATCTTCAATCTTTGCAATGCATTACCAGATATAAGAATAAATACGTACCTGCTTTCATGACCATATGTCCAGAAAGGCCATCTTTCTATACCTTGGTAATTTTCAGACGCAAACATTTTTGGAGGCTATTTTCTCTATGTTTCTATGGTATTTCCTTGGAAACTAGACCAATTTTCTTCTATATTCTTACGGAAATGATTTCTGCAGTTTAAACATTTTACTGTACCTAGTTTTCAATAGGAATTTGTATACAACAGGACCCAGAGAGTCCAAAATTTTATACAAAAATTGAAAGATGGCCAATATCAACTAGTTGAAAAGTAACTTCATAATTTCAATTAATGTTTACACCTCCAATTAGTCTAGCTCTGGAGGCACACTATTCCAACATTTAAACAAAATTCTAAAAGATCCTGAGCATATTACCTTGAACTTTACAGTCTTTGACTGAAGGGTGGTCCACAATTACAGGGTTTAATTCACACAACAGTAACAGGTTTGAATTTTGAAAGTCAGTGATGGATTGAAATTTTACAGGAACAATTTATAAGAAAGAAAAAGAATTTGCAAATGCTTCTATAAATCTGGCTCTGATAGCACATAAGAAGATCATAGAACTCTACATAATCTAAGGATCCAAGTCATAATGGAATTCACAATGAGTGCTCATCATGCACACTTCACTCTCAGTTCATACACTTTTCCACTTGCAATTTTATTGTTAAAATTTTTGTTTGTGGACCACCGCAGACTCAAAAGAGCAGCTTCACTATACATACATGTATGGACTAATGAGGTGCCATATCTTAAGTCGTAATTTACAGACCGTGTGACAAGATTTACAGCGGACAAGTGAAGGGTTGTGCCTGCAAACTACTTCAAACTGAGGGATTACAGATGATATCTACCTGTAATTTGTTGTCCAAGTCATGGCACTCTTTCCCCAGCTCAAAGCTTGTCCTAAAATGAGAAAGAAAGAAGTTGGACAAGTCAACGCAAAGCGTAGCATCCCCTCGCAGGGTACAAATGACCTATATACTTCAGAACAAGTTACTTCCATTGGACTAAACTATTATATTACTAGGCAAGGAAGTTAACCACATTTATATGTGTACATGTATTTTGATACCATGAACCTTCATATCTAATTTCATTAAAATCCGTCAAACAATACTAAAGTTATCAAATCGAAACCAGATTTGCATATTTAATGAGCTATGACCTTTGACCTTTAACCTACGTACTCAAAAATCGAACATAGCCTGTATTTTGATATCATGTACCTTCATATCAAATTTCATTACTGAAGTTATCGATCGGAAACCAAATTTGTTACTGAAGGACAGATGCACGGACGGAAGGAAGGAAGGACGGACGGCAGCGTTTCTATATCCCCTCCGACTTCGTCGGTGAGGGGATAACAATACCGGTACCTGTTACTTCTTGTCCATGTCTAAGATATGTGGAAATACAAGAATAGATTAAACACCTTTATCAAATTCAAAGAGGAGACAATACCATTTTGGATAGGTTTATCTTTCATTTGAACAAAAAATGGTGAGATTATGGATTTATTAGAATGAGGGCATACAAACTAGGCAATCATTGTAATGGGAAAATTGACCCCCTGCAAACTGATAACAAATATATTAATTATGACAAATTAAGATTAAAAGATCTATCAACCCTGAGTTTTAAAAAAATGCTGATTTTATGTAGTACTAATATTTTCTACAGAAGAGGAAGAAAAAAAAGATACAGACATACCTCAACCATTCCACTGCATGTTCCGGCATCTTACTCTTAACTGCATCACAGCCAAAGTTGTAGCACATCCTGGCAAGCACAGATACCTGATAAATTGGGTGTGACATATTGTTCATGAGATTTTAAAGAAAAGAAACACTTATAATGTTTATATCAAAAGAGGGCAGTATACAGCCTCACTGGTAATAAATTACTCTCTTACACTACACATGAGCTGTGTGAGTTATCTTTGTTTTGTGACACTTACAATGTACATGTTAATGCTACTAAAACGATATTGAGACATTGGCAAAACGATATTGAAACATTGGCAAAAAATGATATTGAAACATTGGCAAAAAGAAATCTCTCTTTACATATGAACAACCGCTGTAAACTTGAACTATTAAAATAAACAGAAAATTTTTGGTTCCGATTTCCTTCATGAATGTTGTAGTACATCTTGGATAGAAGATATGTGTACACTTGCTCATACAACAATTATGCACTGTGGTAGTTTGACTACACAAACCGCATGCACCGATAATTGTCAACTGATCTCTTCAATATATTTATATTTATAAGATGCTTCTTTAGACGCTGTGGTTATCTAGCTAGTCTGTTAATTAACCCCTTTCGCTATGCGATGATTAAACATAAAAACAGAACATTCATTATACTATTGCTATAAACATCACCACAGGACTATAGGCTACGATTCAAATATGGTACCTCAGTGACGAGCGTGGTCAGAAGTGGTCTTGCTTTCTCAACCCATTCCAACCCTTGTTTATGTTGCTCCTGTCCCACGGCCTTCGGAAAAAATCAAGATGAATATTTTATATTAAACATCGTTTGCTGGTTAAGTTACATAACACTTTTACAGGTAGCAATGCATTTATTATAAATCACAATCAATCAAGAGTTATTATGCTATCATGCTTTATCATGTACTTAATGAAGAAAACAAAAAGAAGCTTACTATCAACTGAGAGAATATGAATCAAAAATACTTTTGTTAAATTTTTCTTGAATTATAAAGATATTTTAAATACTGCACTAAAGTTAATAATATCAACAAGTTTCTGCTTTTACACCAAATAAGATTTTTGCTTATTAATCATCCATGGATGACAAGTTAAGAATAGCAACAAATCTCCCTCAAGCTTTTTGTATTTACTGGGAGATGTTTCACAAAGACTAAGATCGACTTTAAGTTGGACTTAACTATGGCTGGCCATTCATGCTACTGTTTGCTCTCACCGTTTACTGACATTGGTCTCTCAAGGGACGTATAAATCATGGTCACAAATCTACAGAATTTATATTTTTTGATAATTCATTATTGATTATTGAAGGAAAAAATATTATCTAAAGATCATAATGGTGAAAGCGATCAATGGCATGAATGGCCTGCCATAGTTAAGTCCAACATAAAGTCGATCTAAGTCTTAATGTGACCCCTTCCCCCCCCCCCCCCCCCCCCAGGTTTCACTGTATTTGATCTTGATGAGATTCTTCTATCACTGTCATGAGACAGCTTGGGTTTTCAGAACATTACGTACTGACTGTTTTATGTACTTACGGCTTTTGCCTTGAAGCAAAATATCTTGAAGGCTTCCCGGTCGACTTCCTTCTTCTTTTCAGCCATCCACACACTCTTTTCACCATCGGAAGTGGAGCCGACGGGAGCTTGGACTTGGTTCTTAGTTTCTCAAGGCCCTGTTTTAAATACCAGTTGGAGCAACATAAAGAATGTCTCAAAGTTAATGCAAAGTTTTGGGAAATTTTGAAAATTGGATGGATAGTAATTCTTTAAAGTGATGATATATTTGGATGCCTCTGTGGATGTATTATAAGCACTACAAACTTTAGCCCCTAAAACCTTCTGTTTTCGAGAAAATTGAATCATCAAAATTTACCAGTGCTCCCGGTAAATTTTAAATATTTCAAATAGCGCCTAAGGCCATTCCAGGGTGGCTGCGACCATTAAAATCTCAGAATATGCAGTATATAGGTACATGTATGTATGCACCATCACATATAAATTTGAGGTCAGTTCAGCAATATCTTTTGCAATACATCCTGTTGTTCAGACCAAGTTGTTACGTTTTGCTGCCAGATCCTGCACTTTGAAACACCATCCCATGTCATGCAAAGGATTCATCCACACTTTATTAATTTAAAACCCTCCTCAAAACACACTTGTAACTATTAAGACAAATGCGACCTCGTCTCCAATATGCCTCCGCCTGATTACAGCTAAGCTCATGACTTGAACTATATTCTAGAAATATTCTTAAATATATTCATGAGAACAAAAGGCCAATGAGTACACGTTAAATGATCTTTATGACCTTTGACCTGACATAATCCCAAAACCTGATCATTTGTCTTTCTATGGTGAAGTGAACTAGATAAAAAATTCAAAGTTCACAGCTAAAATTGCCATTGATACGGTGATAACAAGGGAAACACAACAAATATTATTTCACATAAGTTGACTGACTTGACTCACTGACCTTTGACCTTCTTAGACCAAAATCAAATCAGCTTGCATCACTATAAACGTGATGAATACTAATACCAAGTTCAACGTTTATGGCTCAAATTATTAATTGAGACATTACAGTAATGAGGCTAAAACTCAGGAAATTTCAAGGAAATTGACCTCTATGACCATTGAACTTTGACATACTCATAAAAAAATTGAATCATTTCCTCTCACTAATATGATGCATGATCTCTCTCTCTCTCTTTAGTTCTTTTTTTGTTGTCATTTGATTGGTGGCCCACTAGAAGCCACTAGGGGCTGCCTAAACATGTCAGCTATAAGATATCAAAGTTCTAAACTTGTATAGATGTTTTCTCATATCCGTGTTCTATATTATATACATGTACATGAAGCCGTATTAGAATTGCTCAGCGTACAGAGTAAACAATGAAAATATATGATATAACTGCTTGATATATAATTTGATACATTTTAGTACACATGTACATCCATTTCCCTTGTATCCCAGTCTGATTTATCTCAAGCTTAATATAATAACTGCACTACCTTGTATGTATTTCAGGTTTATTTATCATCTTCTTCTTATTCAACTCATTATTTATTTCTATCTATATCTCTTTTTTTTTTTTTTTTTTTTTTTTTTTGGGGGGGGGGGGGGGGGTCCTCTAGTCAAAACCTATTGTAATTCAATTTGTCTATATTCTTAATTTTCTTCAACATACATGTAGAGTTGTGATGCAATGTAAATGAAAAGACTCATTGCATTACAAATTAAAGGAAGGAAGCTACCTCTAATGCGAGACTGAGACATTGCTCGGCCATAGACCACTGACTGCAATCTAGGAGAAAACAAACATAAAGATATAACAATAATTAAAAACAAAACAACAACAACTATAATAATAATAATAATAATAATAATAATAATAACAAGAACAATAATGATAATATTAACAATAATATTGATAATAATAATAGTTCTTTTCTATTATCGGACAAAGCACTTACAGTATTGTCATTAACCGAGTCACTGGATTCAATATTATTCTGCACATAACAATACACATTCTACACTCCCTGGGGAGAATGTAACTCAGTACCTATGATATCTCTTATCACATACTGAATCATTAGCAAAGATGAAATAAACTTTTAAGGATTCTAAAGCGCTTCATATGATATGAACAACTGGTTTGTGTTTTCTGCTTTACTTGGTATTTTTGGCAGGCCACAAACACATAAATTGAATCAAGCCAATAGATATTAAATTCCAATATCTTACCTATCCATGCACTTGCAGCCTTGCTTGCCATCTGCAAAAATTACATGAATAATGTCAACAATGGGTATTACAAATTAAAACAATTTGTATAGAAGTAGAATGCTTAGAATTAACTTACAATAATTAATTAAAAATAAATGGACAATTCCTTGCAGCGTGTAAGGTTTGCATTCTGAATAATACCTGGTTTGTAGAACAAAGTCATTAATTAAAGTGTACCAATCACCTGGAATATATAATTTGTGTATTGCTAGAATGCTAGAATGTATGAAATCAACCCAAAAAAAACTTTACCAGACATTCTACACAATAACGGTTAAGGAGTATGAAGAAAATAAAGGATAACATACAACCCCACAAAAAATATCTGTCCAATGAATGTATATAAATTTACTGTTTTTTAACTGCTGGATATAAGGTTTATGAGGGCCCTGTTCCATAAAACACAGGATTGATGGTAACTTTGCAATTAATGGTAACTTCCGTGGACACCATGATTTGATTGGCTGGTGAGTGATGTTGCCATGGTAGTTAATAGTATTGATGGCCAAGTTACCATCAGTGGTAAGTTTGATGCAAAGGAGGCCCCGGCTTGGGACTGGCATCATTGTCCAATGAGTGTATATCAATTTACTGCTGAATATAAGTTTCTGAGGTCTTACCATCACATGACGTTTCTGCACTGTGAAGTTCTCAGCCGATAGTCCACTGGTAAATGCAAGGTTACTGGCAAGATGGCGTACTGTACAGAGAAGGGGACATATATATATATGACTTTCCTACTGTAATAGAGAGCTTTACCTAAAGTATTCTTAAAATGTTTAACCCTATGGTCTAAGATGAATCTGCAGCTCTTACAACTTTAAAGACCGTCAATACTACTGGGCCAGAAGGGATTAGACCACCCAGCCAGGTCACTGATAGGTGGCTGTCTCATCAACTCAGCTTTCATTTAACATAAGAAAAAGAGGATCATGGGGGACCAATAGGCACCAATTGTGGAAGTTTTCTATATAAAGGGAGCAAGTAGCTACAAGTAGGACAGTGGGGTTTTAAAATTCAAATTACAAACAGTAATCTTATGGCAAAATTCCAATTTGAGTATTATTTTGAGAAAAAAGTTGAACATAATAAGTAGTTTCTTCAGGTTCATTTTTATAATCATTTCGTACACAATTCTATGAATTCCTAAAGTCATAGTTTATTCGTACACAGTACAGTATCCTTAGTTATAAACATAAATTTTTTAACAAATATCAGTCTACTTTATAGCAAATCAACATCATACTTAGAGAAAGAAAAAAAAATATGTAAAACATCTGTGTCTGATGACATACATTAAAGACTGCTTTCAAAATTAAAAATATATACAAATACTGGTATGCCATGGAAGAATAACATTGTAAATAGAATCTTTGGAAGGTTATTGATCAAATGACCAAGATGATAGCATTCTTCAAAGTGCATTGGTTATGCTTTCCAAATGAGGAAAAGAAAGGAACTTTCTTTTAAATATTTTTGTGTTTATTAAATTTTGTTGTTTGTTTGTCTAATTATTACCAATGACTTATAAATATGTAATTTGTATATGATTGAAAATTTAAAAGAAAGGAAATTTAATACTATTAACAAAGACCAAGCAAACTTTGAGAAAATAAGAGATACAATACTCTTTACTTTCTCTGTTTATACAGTGTGCTTTACAAAGTGTTGCACTTCCTGTACTTACGTTTAGCATTGAGGACATCACCAATGGCATTCCCAGTGTTCTTGGAGACGGCAACATTCCACATCATGACAGCACATTGCTCAAGCTGCACATGAATCCAGAGAATGCATATGTTATATGATAGCAGGCACAGCATGAGATTTCATAGCAGAAATGTTTTAGCTTCTCTTTCTCTCTCTCTCTTTTTTTTCTCTCTCTATCTCTCTCTCTCTCTCTCTCTGTATTTTAAAATATTTTCTTCACTCAGATACATGTACATGTAATCTACAATTTAAAGAGTTGATCTTGGAGACAGTAACATTCCACAAATCATGACAGCACATTGCTCAAGCTGTATAGTGCAATACATGAATCCACAGAATGAATATTGAAGGCAAAAACAGCACGATGATATTTCACTGCAGAAAATTATTAGCCTCCCCCTTCTTTCTATCTCTCTCTCTCTCTCTCTCTCTCTCTCTCTTCCTCCCTCCTCTCTCTCTCTCTCTCTCTCTCTCTCTCTCTTCCTACCTCCCTCCCTCCCGCTCTCTCTCACTCTATCTCTCATTTTTGTAAATATATTCAAGTATTTATATTTGAATTCACTCAGATATTCTACAATTTAAAGAGAAGATCTACATTCTATTTTTACCCAAAGGAATATATCTATAATTCCTCGGCTGGTCCCAAGATTTTTTCTGACCTGTTTTTCAATTACAGATCGATCAATTGATCTTATTTACTAGGTTTAAGCCACAAATATGTTTATATTATTGAAATTTCTCCCAGGAAGCATAACATTTATAAAAGTCCTGCTCTGATCTGCACTAGATTCTCTCATATTCCATATCAAATCTTGTTTTTATATACCTTGAGTAAAATAATTCTCTGCATGATCCCCCTTTCCTCTTTCCTTATCATTTTATGTACATATATGTTACAATATGTATCCTACATGTATGACATCATTTGCTGTAGTGATGATGTGAAATATGAAAATAAAATAAACTGAAACTAATATGAAATCAGTAGTCCATAGATTAAAAAGAAGAGTTTTTTAGTTGTAACTTTTACCTGAGCTCCTTTCTCTTTGACCAGCTGATGCAGGACCTCTCCTCCCAGTTTATGCAATGAATGAGACAGATCCATCAGCCGGTCTGCGATTTGATCACAAACTCTCTTCATCATCTTCTTTGCACAGCACATCAACTAGACCTATTAAAGTACAGCAAGGTATTGATGAAAAGAAAGGATGAACAAACATGATTGTTATAGCTCTATTACACTATAAAGTTCATGTTTCTATTAGGCGTAAGTGGTCTAGATTAGATCTAAGTTAAGCCAGGCTGATATGGATTATGGGCAAGTTTCTTTCTTCTCTTAAAAAAAAAAATCAAGTTTCTCTCTTATTTTAAATCTTCCCATTGTACTAATAATAATATGCTTTAATATAGATCTACTCATAGTACAGAATTTTGTTCTAAAGTCAACAAACATTACATTTCCAACATTCCATTTCATTCTAAAGCCTCGTTAAAAAATGCCAGGTCATCTCTGTCTCTAGGAAAAGAACTCACATCAAGCACCAGAACTCGCTGAATGGGGTTGCTCTGGACTCTGTGACACCCACCGAGTACCTGGGCATCACCATCACAAGGGACCTGAAGTGGAATCAGCACATCGCCGGCACTTGCTAGAGAGCAAACAACACCCTTGCTTTCCTCAAGAGAAATCTGAAAATTAACTCTCCTGCACTAAGACCGTGGTGTACAAGACCCTCGTTCGTCCATTACTGGAGTATGAAAGTGCATATGGGACCCTTCTGCTCAAAGATCCATTGACCAGTTGGAAATGGTCCAAAGACACGCCGCCAGATTTTTCCTTCATCGCTACCATAACACATCAAGCGTTGGAGACATGATCAGACAACTGGGATGGCCTTTTCTGCAGACCCATAGAGAGCACTCAAGACTAGCCTTCTTCTACAAAATCCACAATGAGACTGTGGATTTTGACCCAACAAACCACATCCCTCCTGTGACAAGACCATCAAGGACAGTTCACGCTGATGGGTACTCAGCTCCCCTGGGCCCGTATTCAATTTGATACTTACAATGTAAGTACAAAATTTAAGCTTTTTACTTAGTATTTGGCTTAGATAAAATACTTAGCCAATTATGGTATTCAATTCACACTTTTGGCTAAGTATTTTACTCTAAATCTAAGCCAACACCATACCAGATTTAAGCCAATTATTTGGACGCCTTGATTGGCAGGCATATGGTTTTCTTAGGCAGTATAGAGTCTAGGTCTATTATAACCTGCGCACAATTATATCAGCGCGCATTTATTGCAATGCATCAATTGCGCATTACTTTTGATTGACCGTGTGACGTCACAATGCTTATCAGTAAGTATTTTACTTAGATTTTGTCTTACGTAAGTATAAGTCTAAAATGTGATTTGAATACGAGATAAGTAAATTACTTAACTTAGCCATTTACTTAGTAAGTTTCTTACTTAGACTATGCTAAGTATTGAATTGAATAGCGGCCCAGGTCCAGAACTGAACAACACAAACAATCATTCTTCCCAAGGACCTTGCGTGCATGGAACTCTCTACCAATGGACGTAGTGAAGGCTCCATCGGTAGAAGCATTTCGTCAACTAATGACAAAATGCAGTGGCTTAACCCAGTAGATCTACCGGACTAACTTTTAGAAGATGTTTTACTTGCACCTAGACCCTAGAGTCTATGTTATATAGATCTAGATAGGACACTCAGCACTTCACATCCTTTATTGTGACACACACACGCAAGAGCAGTCTAACTGTTAGTGTTACACTTAGCTCGTGAGTGTGAACATAAACGAAGCGTACCTCTGGACCGATCCACTGGATCGGTCTGGAGAGTGAGTGAGAACGGGGTCTAAAACTAACTAAGGAGTAAATATTTGGCTGTCGCTGTCACTAGAACTTACTCACTAGCAGTAGCACTAGATCTAGCAGTGCCTTTCGAAACTGTATCAGCGCGGCGCGGCGTCGCGATACATGTAGACCTAGTATGTACAGCGCGCAGCGAAGACTACGGTCGGTCGGTCTCTGGCCAGACCGTGCCATGCCCATGACATGCACCCATCACGTCAATTCAAACTTAAAGTTAGTTCTAGATCTATTAAATTCTATTAATGACTCAGAATGCTTACTTTCTAATTCATGAACCGTGTCTGCTGATCCCATGTTGATGTCAGCTACACCTAGAAGCCTTTCTCAAAAAGAAATGTCACCAGACTGAATGTCACGTGAATGGGAAATTTTATTTCCAAATCTTCCAAATCGTCCGATTAAATTAGATCTATTTGCCGTCGGCAGACTAGACTTGTTATTGCTCATGACTAGTCTCCTACAAGAATGCCTAATCAGCATGCAGTTGTTGTTCAGAAACAACTTGCTTCTGCTTTCAAAACAAATTTTAAACAAAATTATAAGTAATCTGTTTTAGAAAAAATATAGTAGTTTCAGTTTAGATATCATCTTAAAAGTTTACTTCCGAAAGAAAAATATTGTCAGTAATAATTAATTAACGACAGCGCAGCCTATACAAAGGCAACGCACGTACGCGCGAGTGCAGAACTTTCAGCCAATCAAAT